TGTTTTTACTTTTCATCTCTATGTTAAACTCACCTTGTGTTACCTGTGGTTTTCTCTCTGGTTCCCGTACATGGAATGACATGAATATCTAATCATGGTACAAGTGTTACGAACTTCAGTTAACCAATCAATTTACATTTATAATTCTCATCACTAATTGATTTCAAAAAATCTTATCAGTTTTTTTCCCTTTTATTTTGCTTAAAACTGCATAAATTTTTATTGGTAGCCACAGGAACTTCAAGTTATATTAATAATTGAAGGCAAAAAAATTTTCATTTTAAAGAAACTAATTTCTTGTAAGTATTATTGGTGCTAAACATGGAAGGGAAGAAATAATTAGCAGACGTTGTTTTTGCCGGTTTCTTTTGTTTTGGTTGTTTCCGTCATTAACAGAACATGAAAAGTATCTTTATTAGCAATACTCACTGATGATGAATATGGCTACAATGTGACATGGCTATGTAATTCTTTTTGTTGTAATGATCAAATGATGTATCGTGATAATGGCCGCAAAGTGACGGTGATACATCATTGTTTTTGACAGAGGATACTGGTGTTAGCCCTGCTTTATGGTGGTTGACCCACGAATCAGGACCAGACACGGTCCGATGGCCGGCCATGACGGCTAACTCCTGACTTCTTGACTGTTATGTCCAAAGAAACAAACATTACAATTTTCTCGTATTTGTGAATAATTGCTAAAATATTGGCTTGCAAGTGCTGAACATTTCACTCATGGTAATGAAGTCTAATAAAATTGCAGGGTTTTTGATTAAGTTGAGGACAATTAAAGATTGATTTTAATTACACTTTACAGCATCAATGTGTCAACTTCAGAATTAACAAAAAAAATTCAGAAGGAACTTTGTGCCATCATGGTCCATGCACAAGGTAGACCTATAAATAAAATATGGAATCCTGATGAATCTAATTAATGGCAAATTGATATAAGGTACATGATGTGTAATAGAAAATGAAAAAAAAAAAATTCCTTGTCTTTACGAGTCTTTTGATGTTTCTTCTAATCTGAATTTTTTGGTGGCATTTAAATAATCAGGAAATATTAATGCGATATTCAGATGGGCACTCTGAAACCTTGTAACCTTCGTAAGTATACTACCGTCTTGTACTGAATGATGCTCGAGATACTGGGCCCGATTAAACTCCTTATTCGGCTTTAATTTTGAAGTATTGTGTCCTTAATTCTGGTCTCTGCAGTGTCACTTGAAGTTGTCAGGGCAGTTGTCTTTTTGGGGCTAGCTTATCACTGTAAGCACGAAACAGTAGGAAGTTCCAGATATGTGAAGTAAGCAGGCTGAGATAAGGATGAAAGGATGCAGATAAACATCATTTGTGTGGATGCATTACGGGGTTTTTCATTGTTCGTCACAAATAAAGGCTTACATTTAAGACTTGGTGTAAGGTGTTCGTTGGCGGGCAACTTGATGCGTTAGTGTTGATGATAACCTGTCTATTTACGGCTCCTGTTTCCAAGCGACCTGTTTTTAGCAGAGCTATATATGGAAGGATTTCGTGCTCCCTCTCTCTGTAAAGGAAAATTGATAGATGGCCATAAATGTTGGTGTATGTACCATTAACGATGTTGTATCGTTTAGAGGGGAACAAGATGATGACAGAATATGTACACGACTGCATAAAGGGATGTTCTAAGAAAGGGACCATGTACCTGTTATTTTTATACCTGTTAATAGTGGCGGATGATAGCAGTAAAAATTGTCCTTCTTGTAAATCTGACAGGTTGATTGGTTCAAGCTGTACTGGGAACAAACCCCAAAAACAAATGGAATTGTGTAATCTTTTTCCTCTGTGAGCGATGACCTCTGCAGCAAAGGTCATTGCTTATGTAGGCCTGGGGCCATGGCTTTATATTTTGTCATTACTAGCTGATAATGGCTTTGGTTCGTGGCTGAAGACTGGTGAGAAGTTCCTCCACAAATCGCCTGTCACATCTGACTGACCCTGTCAGAGAATCAGCGTGATGGACACCCAACAGGAGCAATGACCAGCGCTGTAGCTCCCCCTAGCTTCTGAAAGCTCTGTGATGGATCGGCCATCAAATATTTAACAATGACTTTCATCAAGATGTTTGTAAATTTGTAAACAAATAACCTTAACATTATTGCATATTGATAAGAGTAATAACACCCACCCATCTAACATGAGCCAGGAATTTTTTTTGTTGGATGTAAATTTTCAGATTTTTTTCTCTAGAATTGTGGTATGCAAATTTCACTGTAAGATAAAGAGAAGGGGAAAAGTAGTATTGTTCAACTATATAAATACAGTGTGTTTCATGATGTGAAAAGTCATGTAAAATCTTTCTGATGTTAATCTTAGATTAAGACCTTTCATCTATATAAGGGGATTATCTCCGTAATTAATCCCTAACAAGGAGAGCGCATTCACAGCTTCCCCCCTAGCTAGCCGTTGTGTGTCTTTGCTATGAGTAATCATCCCAGAAATTTGGACCAGTAGCCCCCAAAACTCTGGAATTCAATGCAACAGTCCATCTGTGTCAACTGAAGCTATAAATGCCCAGTATAAATATTTAACCGAGTACCTATTTACATTTTTCCCAAAAGGATAAAGATGTTTAAAAGTTGAAGAATCTATTAGCACTTAAATGCCATAGAAATCGCAGGCAAAATATTGAATACTTATATAGATGCTTAAACTAAACAAGATATTGTTTGGGACTCAGTAGTGGCAAAATGGTTTACCTATGAGGAAGAATGAATTGATGTAACCCTGTCCCAGAATAAGGGGGGATTCTTAGCGGCTTCAATGGGGTGTTGTAAATCAGAAATTACCACGTACAATCAGTTCCCAGAAGGATGCATGGGAAATGTCAATATTGAACATTAAACATTTCATCCCTGGATGAGGATTTCTGTATTTTAAAAGTTTCGTGAATTCTATTTGTGTAGGAGATTTTTTTTTTCCTTTCACATAATTCTGAAGTATTTGCTGCTTTAAATACCCTTCCTAGATGACGTAGGTTTTATGGGATAAGGCTGGATACTTTTTATATGAATTAATATCTCCGCATTATTAAAATAAACGGAGAAATGCTGCAGAAACTTTGTAGTTTTATTATTACGCTAGCTTTCTAAGTCAATGTATTCTGAATCCACTACCAGCTGCGGGGAAATAAAGGTCCCCAGGTCTGAACATGATCCCCCTTAGATTGATACACATACTCTCCTTTTTTGCTTTTCTTGTGATGGATGTCATTTTTACAGTTTTTAAGAGATTTTTTTTTTTGGTATAATGGATGTATGATTGCTTGAGATTTATCAATCGTAATGGCATGCATTTCCACATCAGCAATTAAAGAAACGTCCCGGGCCGTGAGTCAGAGGCCTGGAATGATCGTACAGATCGTTGTCGTAAGATCTTCGCGGTACATCCCCTGTTGCTTGTCTCATGTCTTTTGTCCTTCGTGTTCGTAAGCTTTGTCTTAATGCATTCTGATGTGGATCACGCTGATAAAATTCATGAGGAAGTTTTTTTTCCGTGGATGAAAAACCATTTTTAAAAAAGTTTAAAAGGGAAAATTCTCTTAGAAACAAAAGAAGTGTCAATTTCGAATATTTTTTATAGGGTTTTTGAATTTTTTTAAGGTCAGATGATACAAAGAAACTTTTATCAAAAATTGTGAAAATTACACTTAAAGCCATGTTAAAATGAATAAGTTTATTCAAAGTTTCATTCAGAGTTCAATTATTTGATTTAAAGTGACAAAATGTTTATTTAGATTTATAAGGATAACTGCAGAAATAAAGAATTTTGAACATTATAGAAAGGTTACAAATGCTTAATATTAAAAAAAAAATAAAATTCACATGATTTAAAACTAAATTAGATCCAGAAATATCTACCAATCCATATATCTATTTTTTTGTATCATCTGTCCTTAAACAAGTAAAAATGTAAGAGTTGACACTGACCATTTCTCTTACAGTGTTATTGTGTAGTTTTGATGAGGCTTTTATACACTTTGTAATCTGCTAACATCCGGTACTTAAAAGCTTGTTTCATTGCAGATTTCCTTTTAGCATCTCCCTTAAACCGCATGGTATTACTTGGTAGTTTAATTCATTAAATTACATAACTAAACTGAATCTTTTATCCACTGAGCAGCCAAAAAAAAAATCTAGTGTCCCTTCTAAAGGAGTGCTGGAAATTTGTTGAATTTTTTTTCATAAAGAGTACAAGTTTGATGACTATAGGAATTGTGTTCATCTTAATTGATTCAGGACCACTTATAGAACCATGTTGTAAATATACACAGTTTCGTTCTATTAGTAGAATCTTTCTCATCGATTTTTGTGCATTGAGAAGGGTAAAAAAAATTTAAGAGTGTCATTTTGTAAGTTTCTGGAAATAACAGATAAATTGTAGTTTTTTAAAATTCAATGAAACTCTTAATGCTTGTTGATAACAGATCTGAAGTATTTCTCCATTTCTCTGAAGCCTGTCAGGCTTTAATCTTTTGTAAAGTATTCTAGATGATGTTAAAGGGAAAGAAATGTGATGTTTTAAGTGAATAGTCCTATACAAATAAAGTTTTACAAGATATTTGCACAGTGTATAAAGGGAAAATAGACCGGAGAACTTGCGGAGATGTGAACAGGATAAAACAATTTGAGTGCTCCACACTCACAATGGTCAGAATCCTTAGCATTGGAATCTTTAAAGAGCATTGGGATTCAAGAAGCAGGATCAAAGCCCGCTATATCAATACAGTCTTAGGCAATAAATAAATACCGCTTTCTTTTAATAAGTAGTTTTTATTGCAGAATTCATTTCCCCTTTGATGAAATGCACTTGAATCGATGATTTATGCAGTGTGTTTGGTGGTTAAATAATTTTGAAGCCCCATCTTATAGTGAGATGGGGGTCTTCTCTTGTCCTTTTACGAGATTTAGTCCCCAGTAATTGATTTTACTCAATGATCACTTCTTTTCTTTTAGACCAAGAAGAGAACCATGTGGCTAAGGTCAACAAGGAGCCCTGCTTTACAATGGTGGCTAGTTATGAGAATTTGAATGAGCAAGAGTCAGATCAGGTAAATTAGTCCTCTGTTTTATCACATGTTTTACAGGTTGTTAATGGCAACAACAAATCTGAATCCTAGCAGTAGCATAGACAGCAGAGGGACAATAGAAGCAGGTAACAGGTAGCAGCTATTGACAGGCAACAGGTAACCAGAACATAGCTTGCTATGGAGGCAACAGATAGCCAGAAACATAGCCTGCTATGGTGGCAACAGGTAGCCAGAAACATAGCTTGCTATGGAGGCAACAGGTAGCCAGAAACATAGCCTACTATGGAGGCAACAGGTAGCCAAAAACATACCTTGCTATGGAGGCAACAGGTAGCCAGAAATATAGCCTACTATGGAGGCAACAGGTAGTCAGAAACATAGCCTGCTATGGTGGCAACAAATAGCTAGACACATAGTCTGCTATGGTGGCAACAGGTAGCCAGTAACATAGCTTACTATAGCAGTCTTCTGTACCTGATTACCTGTGCAGAATTACTTCAGTTTGCTGCCAAGAAGGAAGCAATTTATAGAAAATAAGTTCTCAAGAGAAATTGATGTGTAGGAAGTATTAGATCAGGAAGAAATATTTTTTCTCTAAAAACACAAAGCCAATCAATAAATTGAAAAACAATTTTTCCTTATTAAAATAATTACAGGATACTTATTTTAATCTTTGATAACCTTTATGGTAAAGTTGTAAAAATTCTGACAGAGAAATGAAGTGATATTAACTGTCTGAAATAGCATCATTTATTTTGATATGGGGCACTAGGAAATTTCGAGAGACAAAGTTTTGTGATGTACAGAACCTAGTATGAGTACCAAAAAAATTGTCCAAGGCCAATAATTTTTTGTCTCCTAAAGCACAAAAGCACATTTAAATTGATACATAAAGTTGTATGGATGCACTGGTAATCAATGTTAGAGATGATATCCTGATACTGAATTGAAGCATACCTCTAGTTAAAGATTCAGATTGAAACAGCAGATAGAGAGATAGCGGGTACTAATGAATCACCGTTTAATTGAACGGGCAATCGGCAGCACATAATAAGGATAATTGCTCGACTAGCCTGATTTGCTGAACCATGCAGATTCATTGAGGTGATCTTGGATGGGCTGCAATGTTAAGTCTGAAGCAGTTATCACATTAAACATCATCTCTATCGGTAACTGAATAGAACAATATTTTATCAAATAACATGTAGCCATATATGAATTCTTTACACTATGTACACAGTATTGATGTAGGGGTTAGGAGGGTAGCAGAGATATTGCGGAGCATATTTTAATTCTTATTGTTTGGGGACTACAGGAGCTGGCTGATTGCGTCTTGATACGAGTGTTCTTGATACAATTAAAATGACAACCCGTGCATTGTTCCCATCCCCCTGCAGGATGTACCTTACGAAAAAAAAAGTCGTCTTTATGAAATTTATTTTTATGACGCTCCAGCCTGTTGAATGGCTGTTATAATTAATGATGCGGTCCCGTTAGGTGTCTCGTACACAAAACCCCGCTATATACTCACTAGCTGCATTGATAAAGCAGAAATTAAAGAGGAAGATTGTAGACTCCATCCCTTTTTCATTTTTAAAAAAAATTTAATACATTTATTTTTCTAGAGTTACACGTGACATTGAATTGTGAACTTGAGAGGAGCTAGGTGCGTGCTACTCAGAATGACAAACATTGAATCTGTCCTCTCAGGACCGACTCTCGTTTGTTACTGGGTAAATAGCAGGCACTGATATTGAATCAAACCTTTCTAAAGGTATCTGTGGGCTGAGATCGGCATCAATTTTCTTGAAGGATATTGAAAATCAAGGATAATTTGACTCTTATTCAGCACTTCAGATAAACTCTGTGATGAATGGTGAATACGTCACAATTGCTTTAAACTATGTAAATAGAAGTATCAGCCATTCACCAGAATCTATAGATTTGCCTCTCGCTGCATTCTCACACTATCTGAATTTTCTTTTCCACAGTTTTACAAAGCTCCGGAAGAAATTGCCGTCATTAAAGTAATTATATGTAGATATTTTCATGAGGGTCATCAAGAGAAAAATGTGCTTTCTAATTGCCTTCATGTAATTTCTAAAGCCTGGCAATTAGTTACTGATACTAATAATATTAGGCATGAAGATAGAACTGTAATATTTTTTTCTTTTATTTGGAAACAAATCCCGAGCCAAGGCCTTGAGTTGATAATCGGCAGGGACGGGTAATAATTCGCTGGTGATTGTAACAAGATATGGGTACCTGGCTCTCCAATTCAATGTATTAAAATATTATCGCTATGATTTCTCAATGGCAGTTAGATGACTAAGGATATAATTTTCAGCAGTCATATTTGTGTGGGGGAGAGGTTTTTCGTATACATGATGGTATATCGTAAATCAAATCTATTTTTAAAAAGAAGAGTCTGACAGGTTTTTTTATGGTCACTTTTATAAGAAGCCAAAATTATGAACTTTCTCTGAATTAACAATCGGTGGATTTTCATTAAAATTGCAATAATAAATCTTACACACATCATGTTCAAGGGAATCATAAGGGACATTGTCCTAGGCATGTCGACAACTGTCAAGCCATAAAACACTGGAATTACGAAAATGTTTACCACATGTAACAAACGGAGGAAAACCTCTTTAATTCTGAATCCTGGGAAAAAAATAATTGCGATGACTTGTGTCCTTATTTTTGGCCATGTCTTTATCTCTTCAGGGAAAAATATCAATCAAACCCGAAAATAGGATCTTTGTGTCTCTTAGACATCTTTGACGTAAGGAAAAATTTGGGAATTCGAAACCAATCAATGTACAGTTGGTGAAGGTTACTCATACATTGACTTAGAAAATCAGGAGACTTCTTGTACCAGTATTAACATTTTGTCAAAAAATTAAGTATTCCATGAATTGTAATGTTCCTTTTTTCCGTTAAGTCTGATCAGGTATAGGTTCAGTTCAAAGTGTTCTGATTTACGACCATTAATAAAATATTTGAAAAGTCGGAATTAACATTCCTTATTTTACATCAAATTAGAGAAAATTTATGAAAAGTGATCAAATTTTGATTCATGCATTGTCTTTATCCGAGAGATTGTTTCCCGAGGAGATGGAGTTAATTGAATTAGTGCAAGTCATCAATTCACTTTTCCCCAGGGTCCATGTACTTGAAATTTTTTCTGTTGAATTTTTCATAAATTTTTTAATGATTTATTTTATGGCTGCACCGTTTGTTAGAGGGGGGATGGATCCTGCCACATAACGGGCTCATGAATAAAACAATCAGATGTTGTAAAGGTTCACTGTCAAAAACGGCTTTGACATCTATCGTTCAAATTAGACGAAGTACACTTCAACACTCCAAATCGTGAGGAGGAAGAAAAAATATCACAGTTAAATGTTTGAATAATAATTACAAATATGATAATCTTTAATCGGTAATCAAATTGTTAACGTTCCAACACTTAAAGAAAAGTAAAGGGTAAAAAGTGAATTCCATTTAAAAAAAATATTATTTATCTTATGGCTGTTTCTGTAACAAATTGATTTTAATATTTAAGAATATTTTAAATATTATTGAATTTTTATTTAAAAATAAATTTTAAAACTTCGGTGTGAAGTATAGGCAGATTTCTTAGTAATTTTATTTTCTGAGAATATTCGTATAAAAAATAGCATTCAGTGTCTCTAATTACCTACTTTGTTTATGAATAAAGTTCACATTTATATAGCTAATGATAATTATAAATTACAAATTAATGACAAAACTTCTAATTGCTATAGCAATGGTAATGAATAAACATGAAGTGGAAGTTTTATTATAGTAATAAACATGAAAATATTTATCAATAATTTTTTCCCCCATTGAGTCAGAAATTTTATTGATACAGTTTGAATACTGTATGATAGATTAGAAATCTAATTAAACAAGGAGTAGACACCAAAATAGATTTGTTGTATTGTCAGTTTAGGAGTGAATTCAGTTAAAATCCGGTCTCAAGACTGTGATGTCATCTGCCAAATAAGCCAACATATATTCTTGCTGGGTCCTGAAAAAATTGTGTCGACACCAAAAAATAAGCATGTAGCCTGACCACAATATTCAGGTGTGACGGTACCGCGTTTATTTCCTGCTAATCAGTTTCTTCACTTACTGATTGCAGTGTCATTTGTTTACACCAGGCTCATAATTGTCGTTAATTGCTATTGTCTTGGGGGCATTGTAGCTTGGTTATAACTGTACCTACATACTTTGTCTCTCAATAATCTTTGGCAGTAACATCATTTTGCCTGCGGGGCAGAGCATTTCTGTTACCAGGGACAGTGTTCTGCTCGGTCGGACAAAATGCATTGTTTCATCTCTCCCAAAGTATGATGAATGGAGAATGAATCACTCAACCTTTTGTCTCCAATGGTCTCTTCAGCAAAGCTGTGTTTTTTATCCCCATTAGTTTATTGATCAGTGAAAAGTTGTGATTGACCACTGGGCTAGGACAGACTGTGTATAAGCCTTCCTACCTCATAAACTGGTGACATTTCTTTGATTGTTTCTTTAGGATCTTGATTACGATGATTATGCTCCGCTAGTTGTGGACACCTCCAGGCAAGCAGAAGACATTGATGATCAAGATGATTTGATAACCGTTAATAATATACAGCAGTCACCCTCTGAAGCCAGCAGCTATACATCACAAACCGAGGTAGCCAGGAGTGCCGCGTTACTTAAAAACACAGACGACGGCTTTAAACCCAGTAACTTCGTATTCACTTCTCCATCCTTAAGCAATCAGGACCAACTGAGTAATTGTTCCTCCGATCAGGACCAGTTGTTCATTGATAGCGGGGAACCTAACGCCGTGTCGGAGAAATCATCCCGCACTCCTTCCATTTCTAGTCTTTCTGATCAACTCAGTCCCAGCGGACTTAGCTCAAATATATCTGCATCTAAAGTTCATAGACGAGGAAAAAAGGTAAATATTTTATAATTTCTATTTAATAGTAATAAATGGAGAGTGATTTTTATTAGACTGGAAAAAAATTTTGCCCAGAGAATCTTGTTCTAAAATTTTCTGTGTGCTGTATCTTTATAACAATATTTTTTTCCTCTTCATTGTGAGTGAATTTTCCTTTAACATTTCTGTCCTTCAGACTTTGAGTGCATCTTTTCTTTTAAGATGTCTTTTTCAAAGACAAGGAGAGCTGTCATGCAAGAAAAAGGGAGACATTCCTCCATCTTTTTTTTCTTTGAGGGGAAGTGGGGGTTTTGCAACTTTTTGAAAATTTTGCCAAAAAAAAGAAAAAAAAAATTATTTTAATTCAGGGAAAATTAAAATTTATATATCTAAATTTTTCTAATTTTTTATGATGTAAAATTTCATGTTTATTTTATATTAAAAAAAAATGTACAAATTGGATCTTTATGCTTATTTTATTTTTAAAAAAAATATAATTATACACAATGGATCTAAAAAGAAATGTATGATAAAAATGAGACGATCAAATTTCAGACTCAGTCAAATCAAGCGGAAAAAGATCCTGATGTAAATGTAGAGTGTGAGGAGTCAGAATCTAAGGTATTACATGACAGTTATATTGTCACCTGCAGCAATACTGGTTACTCATAACCTATAGCAACATCAGTCCCAGAATTCCCTACAGCTACAATCTCCCAGCATGCCTTGCATGATTAGTTTTACACATTCTGGTGAGGGTGCAATAATTACACTGCATGTGCATAGTCTTATGTAATAACATCTGTTTATTTTCTGTACATAAAAAATGTATATATATTCTTGTTAATTATTTACTTTGTTCTGTTGTAGTCTTAACTAATGAATGTTTGAACATGCTCTGATTCTTAAATTTTGTGTTCAATATAAAAAAAATAATAATCAGAATTTCAGTTTTTTTGAGTAAATGAATGTGTGCATATCTCTGTCTATATACTCTCATTAATTCCAGTGCACCAAAGAAACTCAATGAAAGTCCGTTATGGCCCATTTAATTATCATCTCTTAGTGTTACATAAAAAAGTTCATATATATTAACACGGAATTAAGCCCTAAATATTTACTTAATGAATAGTTTCTTTCTTTGGTGCAGCCTTTCTTCTTTTTTTTTTCTAAACTGTCATTGTGTACCCAAGATATTGCTTTTTCAGTGTTTAAAAGCTTTCCATTTCAGCTGCCGACATTCTTTTGTTACTTATGAAGTATATATTATTGCTGTACTTATCTCATGCCTGTACTTTTAATCCCCTTTGATACCTCAAGTTGATGCTAATACAGTTTTGTTACATTCAATGGAAATTCTTGATTGTAATTTGATGATTATTCTCTTATTAAGGAGATTATCAAGATTAAAGAATAAGAAATTATGGCAAGAATCAGTTTCTGATAATTCAAACATCCAGAGGATTAAGATGGATTATAAATAATCTTTATCCCTAATCTTGATGAGGAATAAGTTTCTCCTAATAAAAAAAGAATCTTATATTCACCTTTAAAGATGATATTATCAAAGAGAAAGATTTTGTTTTTAAATGAATAGAGTGTTTTACCCTCTTCTGTAAAATTTAACCATGCTGTGAAATAAGTCTATAAAATATTAAATGAAATGATGACTATAGATACTAAGCATGTTATATGTAGTGCATGTGAAATTTGGAAACCAGTGGGTTGATTTTATTGTGTAGTGGTTAAGTAGAAAAACTTTTCCTCTCACAGATTTTACCCATCACTAACGGAGAAGGGGGTGATGCCAAGTATGCCTGTCCCATTTGTAAAACCATTCTGTCCTCGTCCCACGACTTAACTAAGCACATCAGATCGCATAACCAAAACAACACATCTCAGGCCAACACCTGCACCATTTGTGGAAAAGTGCTCAGCTCTCAAAGTTCCCTAGATCGACACATGCTCGTACATTCAGGTAATATTTCCTACCCAGCATTCAATGAAATAATCAAATAATTTTTTTTAGAAAATTTCACAAAAAATCAGAAATAAAATATTTGTGAATCATTTTTTGTGGTCAGTTTGAATTTTATTCAGTTTTCATTCTTAGAACTTTTAGTTTTATGAACCCATCTTTCATATTTGATTGGGTAAAATATTTTGTGTCAAATTTATTTTAGGGGAAAGACCATTTCAGTGTAAAATCTGTAAAATGTCATTTACCACCAATGGTAATATGCATCGTCATTCAAGAATCCATGCCAAAGAAAACGAACTCGGTGGATCATCGGGAATCAAACCCATCCGTCCAAAGCCAAAAACTCCCACCTGGAAATCTAGGCCCATAATTCCTAACACCAGCACTCCAACATCTCTGACCATTCCGCCGGGAACGTCACTTCTCTCGGCAGAGCTCCTTTCCAACATGCCAAAGTTCTCCATTCTAGAGACCAAACCTCAGGTCCTGACTACCAGCGAACCTGTATCAGTCGGTCAGAAGCGAGCCTTTAACTTCATTGAGTATTCTCCTAATCAGTACACCAGTCCAACGAAGAAGATAAGCCTAGCCCAGGTGACCCCTACCCAGGTCGTAACCGAGAAATCCCCCGCTCTAGTCACCCCAGCAGCAACACCATCCAGTATTACCAAAAAACCAAAGGACTCCCGAACAGAAATCAAATCCTTCACCAACTCCGCCCACCATGACAAGAAAGGTTCCTTGGAGGTAGAGAAAATGGACAGATTTTGTGATTTCTTGTGATGTGTCTTTATTATAATGCTAAAAATATTTGCATGATTATATTAACATATTAAATGGCTTGGGAATATATTTATCATTTTAGAAAAATATGTATCAGTATAGACAAAATAGCTTAATTTTCTGCATGATTAATTAGAGTTAACTTGACAACCCGCTTATTACTTAGCACCTGTCATCAAGCTTATCAGTGTTAATATCTGAAGAGTTTCAGTGGAGTCATAAACATTGTCTTGTCATTGCTGGAATCAGAAAGGTGGAGCTCAGACTCATCATAATTTTCATTTTTTTTTTCTTAAATCAGGAAAAAATTAAAATCTAGACAAATGTTTCCAGTGTACTGTTAATTTGAATAAATTTGATGTTTTAATGTATGATTTTAATGACTTTGTGGGTTGATTGAAGTAACGTTGATTTTTATTGAATTTTCAGTCGTTGAACGGAGAGGAGAGAGAGGGGGACCAGCTTCACTGCCCGGTCTGTAACAAGGGCTTCCTGTGTAAATACGGACTCGAGACCCACCTAGACACCCACCCGGAGTATTCTATGAAATGTGGAATATGTCACATGTCGTTTCCCACCCCCAGGGGCCTGAGCATGCACAAGCTTATGGTCCACAGTAAGGAGAAATCGGTGGAAGATTCTGAAAACACCCCCGAGCCTAAGTCCTCACCCCCAGCTGTTGTGGGATTCTATGATCTTGGTTTTATGGACTTCTCAGTCAAAAAATTTCCCTTAGTTGCCAAGTCCTATTGTGAGGAAAACGTGAGAATATCCAGCAGTATTTACCACAATTTTCACTGTAGCGAGTGTGCTAAGGCATTTCCATCTAGAGCAGCTTTACTCTTACACGAGTACACTCATAGTCCAGAGAAGACCTCACAGTGCCCTCTATGCGAGTGTGATTTCCTGGACACTAATGAACTTCACCTTCACATGGTCAAGCATCTGTCTGATAAAGCTTTCAATGATGTCATGGTAAAGAGCAAAACCGAAAAAGTCCTGAAATCCCCCAAACCTGATAAAATTGGAAAACATGATTTTTTAGCCTCGTTTGGTTTGACCACTGTGAGCGAAGCTGAACTTTTACAGAAAAGAGACAAAGAACTGAAGTTGGAAGCAAACCCAAGCATGGACAAGAAAGAAAATAATGATTATTTTGCCAGACTTGGCCAGGTTTTCTCCTCAGATATTTCACCCATAAATCCACTGATTGCTGCCAAATTTGCCCAAATGTCTCCCGAAGAACAGGCCAAAGCTTACATTGAAGCCCAGAAATTTGTCCAGGCTGCCATGGCCATGCCTCAGTTCTTCCAAGGAATGGAACAATTTTCTGGTCTCAATGCCTCTCAGTTTAAAGCCTTCATGCCTTCTCTTCTTCCCCTTGGATTGACTAAATCCAGTGCCAACAATGCCATGTCTCTAAACCAGCTAACTACCCTAGCAGCCATGACAAGTCCAGCTATGCTGACCAGTATGATGGGGGGACAGAATATTTCCAGCCCCCTCCCCACTCCCCCTCCCAGCAGCGAGAGTGGTTCCTCAGGAGAAATGTCGGACAAGTACCCCAATAAGAATGGCGTCTTCCAGTGCAAATACTGTGATCTGGTGTTCACCAATTATAGAACCATGAAAGGTAAGAAAAATACTTCCTGATACATGTAATTCTCTTTTCTTTTTTTTTACGGAAAATGTATTTTTTGTTAAAGATCCATCTTTTTCTATAATTGTAATAAAATTTGTATACATTTATTGGTTCACTGATTTTGCTGATTTTTTGGTTTTTCGTTAGAAATGTGATTTATTTGAGATCGTGTAAACTGCACTCAGATGCCACACACGTCCAAAGGAGTCAGTTTGAAATGATGATGGTGTCTGCTCCCTTGTTGTGTTAAATTATTAGATTATTGACAGCACCTCAATCATAGGGCTATGTTCCTGACAGGGAATGTGTTAATTTGAAGATTCAAGGGAATAAATGACATCCAATTAAATAATTTAAATATCAAATACATTATTAATTAAAAGTCTAATTACCAATTCCATTTTTTTTTATAATTGGTGGGAAACATTTTTTTTTTCTCATTTTTTCATCAAAATTTTGGGTTTTCATTAAAAAAAAATATTTAAAAAGTAATATAAACTTCTTTCTTTTTTGCTAGCGCTGGTTTTGCTCAGAAATTAAAGCAATAACAGGTTATCGTATCAACTTGTGCATATTGTACCGATGTTCAATTGTTGTTTATATGTATTCAGTTTATTTCCTGCAGTTCCTATTTGCATATTGCATGATCTAAAATACATTAATGTTAATTATGGTTTTAATAAGTGAATAAGACTTTGACAGGTGAAGAAGAGACTAACACAGAGAAACATATATTAGAATAACTTATTTGTGGCAATTTTTATTCCTTTCCTTTCATTTATGTAAGCTTTGAATGGAAATAAAAAGTGATAATTAACAAGATAATTACAACTGCAGAACTTAATTAATTTTTTTTTCTGAACAATTTATTAAGCATTACAAATTCCTAGTTAAATGGCACTGTAAATCGTCCTGTAGAGTTTTTTATTTTGTTTTTATTTTCTAGTTTTAAAATATTTTAGTTGGTACATTCAATTTTAAAAAAATGATTTACTAAAATTGAATAGAATGCAATAAAGCATGATGTGTCAACTTCTTTTTTCAGACTTTTTACATTTTTTAAAACTGGACTTGTTGTGTTTTATTTTGGTTTATAAATATTTGTGATCATTTCTTAGATTTGTTAAGACATTTTTATTTTGTTTTGTGTGGTCCTTTATTTGTATTTGGTTCCGTCGTTTACATTCCCCATAGAAATGTTAACCTGTGCATCATGGTTAAAGGGAGATAATCAGTCTTGAAAACAATGAAGTACAAGAACAAGGAAAATTTTATTTAATAAATTGTCTTTAAGCAGACTAAGGGTATCTGAAAGTAGAATTATTTAGAAATTTCCTATATGTCATTTAAATTTCTGTAGTTATTGAGTAATATTGTAAGAGGAATTTTAATTTGATGATTTTAATTACAGGTCACACTAGAACCCACCTTGGTCTGTCTCCGTACAAATGTAACCTGTGTAGTTACTCCAGTGCTGATAAGAGCACACTGATTCGGCATCTGAGAACCCACAATGGAGAACGGCCATTCCAATGCAGAGTTTGTGACTTTGCCTTCACTACTAAAGCCAACTGTGAGAGGCATGTCAGGTACTGAATCTAGCCTTCTTTGGAAAATTAAACATTATTTCATGATATTTTTGTTATACTTTTTTGATTATTGAATCATAAAAATTTAAATATCATTATTCTGTAATTGCATGTAACAAATTATTTATAAAGTACATGTACATTTACGTATTACAGGAAGAAGCATGGCAAGTATTTGAAGGAGGAAGTAGATGCCGCCATTGGATACAATAAATACGTGGCGGAATCCTCCAATACCACTGAAAACTTCCAGTCTCCTGACACAGTCTGTAAATACTGTGGGGAGGACTTCAAGTTTTTCCGGGCCTTGAAGCACCACCTCCGGTCTCACAGCAGCTGTCCACAGAAGCCATTCCTCTGTATGCGCTGTGACATCGGGTTCTCCACCAAGGCTAACTGTGTCAGACATCTACAGAAGCAGCACCCCGAGGTGTCCCAGTATCAGATAGAGCAGTTCATCCACGTCAATGAACCCTCCCTTCTGGAGGATGGGGAGAAATCATTTGGGGAGGGTATGTCAGATGACAGCCAGACGGCAGACACGCTTGATTTCTCTGGAGGAAATCCACCAGCTGCTCACTCATCCATGAAGAGTCTCATAGCAACAGAGAGTCGTACTCAGTCACCTGTGACAAGTATTAAAGCTGAAGCTGTGAAAATTAAGCAGGAACCAATGGATATGGATGATTTGCCTCTCGATTTCAGCGTTAACAGAAGTTCTACATCCACACCTGATGTCAAACCAAAAGTAGACGAACTGCCAATAGATCTGTCTTTTAAAGGAAAGGAGGCCAGTGATTCTTCAACTCCAGTATGTCGATTTTTTAATGAAATATCTTTCAATTATCTGAAAATGATAGGATTATGAGAGAATTAAATGATAAAATTTAACATTAAAAATTGACAATTTTAATAGGTTTTAAAATAATTGTGTTTTTTAATTCCAGAACTCCCGTTCCATTGTATATGACACTAACTTGTACCAGTGCCAGTTCTGTCCAATGGGAATCTCCAGTCAGAGAATGCTGGAGCGCCACCTGGTGCAGGACCACCACCATCTGCTGGAGAGGATGGAGAAGCAGAGGCTGAAGGAAGCCACCTCACCGGAACCACCCACCAAACTGTCCACCAGCCACGGCAGCGAGGAGAGGATGAAAATCCTGATGCGCTTCCCAAAAACCGGAAACAATGCAAGGAGTCTGAAGGATAGAATTACCAAACCAGACTCCAAATTTAATCATGGTAAGATTAATGATCCAAGTAATAATTGATTGTTTCTTGGAGGTGGTGTTCAAATTTAAAGCCATTGTACATTATTTAAGAATGAATAGCTTTTCACTAATAAAATCTTTTTGCTTCTAAAAGTGTTCTCATATTAGGATGTGTAAGTATATATATAGTGTTGGTTATTGTTTATGATTTATTTTCTTCAGTTCTATGCCTATGTTACAAATCATTATTTTATAGTATTTTGTATGTGGAGTTGAATGGTTTGCTTATTCTTTCAACAATTTTTGATTTGTGTTCAGAAATGTTAAGATAGTTCATTAGATTTGTGTGCAATTTTTATTTATTAAATATGTACAAATGTCTCTTATTTTCATTTCTGTATGGTTTTTCAAGTGTCAGATTGTAACTGTGGAATGTTAGAAGTCAGATACAGATAATTCCAATGAACTGAAAATTTACTCTCTGAGATTCTAAATGAAAAAAAAAAATCTGGTCATTTTCAGAAAGAAGCTTTTGGAAATAGTTAAAGAAAGAATTTATAGAGTAATATGCCATGTTCTTGAATGAAATTTTCTGTAACATTGTTTATCTCTGTTTTAGGTTCAGATACTGCCTCAGATCTTGCCTCAGTGAAAAAAATTCTAGATGCTGCCATTCAACCCTTCCGATCATTCCCCATCGATAATTCCAACTTTTCCGGTAAATCCGGTGAGGATTCCATGGACTATTCCATGGATGAAGACAGTACATGTAAAAGCAAAGATCTGGAGGAACCGCCTGTTCTCAGTCCCAGGAATAAGGGGGATAACTCTAGTATGCTCAGTGACCAAGATATGCCCGAAATAGCAGAGAGCCCAGAACAGTTTGCCAAGATGGTAAGTTTTTCACTTACATGTATAAAGTATGATAAATGCATTTGTTAACTGAGTATATGTAAGTTCCTAAAACATTGAGGGCACAGTTTGATTTAAAAAATGACAACATTGATGGAATAAACATCCAAATCTGCAGTTCCAAACGTTTTGTCTTTTTGCTTGTTTTAGTTCATCAATGCACCAAAGATACCAAAGACCGTAACAGAGCCAGCAGATAAGCTTCTAGTGAAGAAGAAGAGGAATTCCTACGCCGACTCTCCACATAAGTTACAGTGTCCCTACTGCACCAGGACCTTCCCCTGGGTTAGCTCCCTTACCCGCCACCTGCTGACCCACACTGGTCAGAAGCCATTTAAATGCCCCCGCTGTCCCGTCACCTTCTCCACCAAATCAAACCGCGAGCGCCACCTCATCAGGAAACACGGCGTCAACATGATGGACCCACTGTCTCGTCAAACCATGGACCGCCCATACAAGTGTCATCTCTGTGTATTCAGCTCCTTCTCAACTCAAGGTATGCACCGAACTTTTGTTTGCAATGCAGAGGCATCTCTCTATGATAAGCATCTGATGTACGTTTTTTTTGCTGATTATTACAATTATTATCTCATTTTTCATTTTAAAGGTAACCTGCTGAAACACTACAAGGAGCGCCATGTTGGGTGTGAACTCCCAGACACCCTGGCTGACCTCGATAGAGCTGTCACCAAGGGACTCAGTACCACCATCCCCCCACACGAGCGGGGCATGTACAGTATTGAGAGCTACAACATGGACATTCAGCTTAACAAGCAGGATGAACAGAGCCTCCTTAACAAGGCCAAGGTAAAGTGATGTTTAAATATTTTTTACATTCCACAGAGACAAAGACATTTTCCCAGAAATCGAATTCAAAATTTTTATACTTTTTCTTTTCCTTTCAGGACTCTGACACTCCCACTGCCATAACCACTTTTATAGTTCCCGATGACTTGAAATCAGATGATGATGATGACGATGATGATATAATTCCACTGAGCATTGATAACTCCATGGAGGATTCCTCTCCCAAACCATCGCCTACCCCAGAATTCACCGGGTCCGCAGAACGCCAGATCAACCCAGAGCGAGACAACTACAATGTAGATAAGATCACCAACTGCTGGAAATGCAACGAAAAATTTGTCTCTCGTAAATTACTGGTTCGCCACCTGAAGGAGCACAACATTGATCTCCCTTTCAAATGTTATTTGTGTGATGCCTCGTACGAGACTCGGAAGTCTTGCCTGGATCACCAGGAAAGCGCCCACTCCTCCGACTGGAAGATCCTGAAGGAGAAGAACAAGGTGGATAACGTAGATACGTTTGCCAGACACATGGATAAAGTGGTGGAGAACAACTGTAACAAAGTGGACCAGGGGGCCATGCTGGAGATTCCAGGCCAGAATGCAGACGATCCTAAGATGGAGGTGGTGTCTGCTGACTACATGCAGCGTAAAGTCTACTGTTCTCTCTGTCCCAAGAGATTCTGGTCCCTTCAGGACTTGAGGCGCCACATGAGGTCCCACACAGGTAAATATGATTTACATTTAAAGAAAAACATGACTGTTTGATAAAACATTTCATGGAATATTATTGAATTATTGATATTACTGAAAAATGTTGACATTGATTGTAGGGGAGAGGCCTTTTGAATGTGACATCTGCCACAAGCGCTTCACCCTGAAGCACAGCATGATGAGGCATCGTAAGAAGCATGTGGACTCTGGGTCACTGAGTCCAAGTGATGAGGAGGACAATAACAACAACCAAGATGAACCTGGTGTCAGTAAACTGATGACTCATCATAGACCCATATTACCCAGAATGCCTGCTGCTGCTATCCCAGTGATCCCTGTTACAGTCATGACAGAATCTCCCAAAGTCATTGTAAGGACATAATTCATCAACTTTTAGAAAATTGTATTTTTAAAAAAATTTTTGCCTTCACAATTGACAAATCGCTGATGATTTTTCAGTTTTATTTAGAGATATCATTTATTTTTTATGTACAGGAGAACTGCCCTCAGTTTATCACAGTTTCCTCCACCCAGATACCACCGCCAGCAAAATCCACCACCATCACCATGGAGACAGATGTCAAAGACAACAGTGCTGACATTCTCCACAATCTGCTGGGTGTAGATGTAGGATCCATCGACCAGATGCTGGACTCCGCAGACAGCGCCGCCAAACTACTGGGCATGTGAACATTGTCATAGGAAATAAGATATGTGAACATTGCTATGGGAAATACATGTGAACATTGTTATGGGAAATAGATGAAATATGATCATTGCTAAGGAAAATAGATGATGTCAAAATTACTATGGGAAATGCATGTAGATAGAAGTTAAAGCAGTTTAGAATGATAAAATAATAATCAAATGTGTGAATAATGAAGCAATTGTATATGAAGTGGATTAGTGAGTACTTGATTGACATAGATTGAAAAACTCTGAAACATTAAAATTAAATTTAAATTGTATGTGATTGTATAAATGTCTCATGATTTGATGATAGTATTTAACCAAGTGTTTATGCCAAAATGGATGCTATGTGAGGAGTAGTTTTCTTCACTTGTATATACATTATCTCATTTATTTTAAAACTGTGGTCACCTGATCTTTGAAGATTTGGTGTCATTGATGCATTGTTAACTCTTATTTTATATGACCATGGGAAAAAGATTCATGTACATGCACTTTGTGTGATAAAATAGCAAGCTTGTGTGAAATGCACATAAATTCTATAAAAAAGATGTAGGTGTATTTTTAACAATTTTTGTTTTCTAGAATTTGCCAGTTGTTTTTAACTAATTTGTGTCAGGGATAATTTATTGAACATTCCAAAACTTTTTTGTAGTGATTTTGTAAAGTGTTCATCATAATTGACTGGAGGAAAATAAATACAAAGTTATGTGCATAGAGTGTATAAATGTCAAGTTCCTGAACATACAGGAAGGGACCATAATGAATTGTAAATACTTTTATACATTCCAATTGTTGTATACAAATGTTGTGTGCATGTATTTGTGTATATATTTTGATTTAATGAATTTTATATGATTGCTCCAAGAGGAAATAACTTTGTCTCTTTATATTGACAATCCATGCTCCCTCGGGAGTTTCCCTTTATGGCACCCCACCGCACGTGTTTCTGCACATTTTTGTGAGTCGTGAAAAAAAGTGCATAAGACAACACCCTAGTCTCTTAACAGATCTGTTATTTAGTCAAAAATTATTTATTTATTCATTTGTTATGACTTTTATTTTCTATGTTGAATTTTGTACATTATTTGTATATATGGAGTGTTTAATTGTGACATCTTTCAGACTTCTTTTTTGAGAACTATGCATTCCTTTATTTCACAAACAAGTTCCTGCAACAGCATTCCAACCTTTCTCTTCAATTTTCATACGTTAAAATGCCCGATTTCTATATTTATTATTTGTTTTGATAAAAAAATGTTACAACATTTTAGTTTGGTGTAGGGGAAGTAACCATTCCAGTGTATACATTAGAGTTTTTGTGTTAGTGCCTTAGACCAAAATAGTATTGGAATTGGAAAGGGGATTAGTCTCGAAGCCACAGTGTTTCAAATTGAATCCATATTTTCTTATTTAAGAAAAAAATGTCTCTCTTTTTTTTTATTCTTCCATTGTGTGAGTTTTTAATTATGGACTACAGGGATTTTTGACAACGATGTAGGTTTGAATTTAAGTCACAAATATTTTTAAGAAACTTGTGTGTGTTTTAATTTGCTGGTCATGAAAGCATTAATATGCAACGAATTTAATTAAACTATATAAGTAGAAAAATTGTGTTATTTTTATATTTCAATGGATATTTGGAAAGGAACTAAAAATTCCAAATGATACATCACCTAAGAAGTTGAGTATTTTGCTTTTGAAATCTCTGAAAGCTAAAATCAGTGTTGAAGTGACAAGGCAACAAATCATGATTTGGTAACAAAACCCCCCAAAAGTAGACAGAGAATGAATATTGGTCACGGTAAACATAATTAAAAAAATTTTACCAAGAGAGATAGAAGGACTAAAAGTGTGTGTATGTATAAGCCATGGTATATAATGGTGAAAAAACAAGAAATCTATGAGCCAATGCTCACTAGTAATACCCCCGCTCTGATGTAAATAAGCACTATCATGTTAATATACACACGTTCAATTACAGGCAGATGCACAGAAAAATATGTTGACATCAGATTCATATCAAAATTAATCCCACCATATGGCATGCCTCAACAAAGAGTGTAATAAAATTGCAAGCATCTGCTATGAATAGATAATGAGAAAACTGCGACGAAATTTTTTTATGTATGAAACGGACAGACGCACAGACAAACAGGAAGTTGATATCCGATTTAAAAAAAATGTATCCCAACATATGGCATACCTTAGAGAAGATTGTGTTAAAATTTCAAGCATCTACAATGAGTAGTTGCAGAGAAAACTGTGACGAAAATTTGTTATGTATGAAACGGACAGACGCACAGACAAACAGGAGGTTGACATCGGATTTGAACAAAAATGTATCCCACCACATGACATGCCTCAGAGAAGATTGTGTTAAAATTTCAAGCATCTACGATGAGTAGTTGCTGAGAGAACTGCGACGAAAATTTGTTACGAATGAAATGGACAGACGCACAGACAAACATGAAGTTGACATCGGATTTGAGCAAAAATGTATCCCACCATATGGCATGCCTCAGAGAGGATTGTGTTAAAATTTTCAAGCATCTACAATGAGTAGTTGCTAAGAAAACTACGACTAAAATTTGTTAAGTATGAAACGGACAGACGCACAGACAAACAGGAAGTTGACATCAGATTTGAGCGAAAATGTATCCCACCAAATGGCATGCTTCAGAGAAGATTGTGTTAAAACAGGAGATTGACATCAGATTTGAACAAAAATGTATCCCACCACATGACATGCCTCAGAGAAGATTGTGTTAAAATTTCAAGCATCTACGATGAGTAGTTGCTGAGAGAACTGCGACGAAAATTTGTTATATGTTAAACAGACAGACGCACAGACAAACATGAAGTTGACATCGGATTTGAGCAAAAATGTATCCCACCATATGGCATGCCTCAGAGAGGATTGTGTTAAAATTTCAAGCATCTACAATGAGTAGTTGCTGAGAAAACTGCGCCAAAAATTTGTTACGGACAGACATACAGCTACACGGACACACAGACAGACAGACACACAAGGGTAAAACAGTATACCCCCCTCTCCTTCGGAGCGGGGGTATAAAAAAGAATGGTGCATCTCATAGAACAACTAAGAGAATGAATTGATGCATTGAACTTAATTTTATAAAAGAGGTAATTGAATGTAGGTTATACCCTGGAACCAGTTTTGATGATTAGAGATGTACAAATATCTGCTAACAGTACATATTCCTGATTCTAACTTGCCTTCAGACTTTCTTGGTGTAATTTCTGTGTACATGCCTAAGCAAACTAAAATTTGATGCTGCAGACCATTCTGATAACTTGGTCTATGATTTTGATGAACAAGAAGCCCTGGGGATTTGGTGGTAACTGGAACATCAAGTTTCCTCTCCACATGAAAAATTAAATCCCACTTGGTACTGGAATTCTGGGGCCCTCGTCACATGAACCTTACAGGTTGTATCTAGCTGCTAATGAGTACATTTTTAGCTCATCTGTGGAGAAATTCTAAACATTGCAATGCAATGCTTAATGTCATAAATTATTGCATTAATATTTGACATTCTAAACCATATATTGATACATGTATGGTTCTTTCATAAAGCAACGATTTAGCATTAGCAGCTGAGAATGTCAACTATTGATGCAATAATGTATGGCAATGAGCATTGCAATTGCAACGCTTAATGATATTTCTATCAATAAGCAGCATTTTATCATCATTGGTTGCTACACACCTGACTTAGAGGGTCAAGTTAGTTACTGCTTGTCCTGCACGTTAATCCATTACAGTAAAACTCATTTAGTACAAACACAAATACTGCGAATTCACGGATATAGCAAAGTTATCATGGATCCCTAGCTAAATAAATTTCAGGAATACCTTATACTAATTCAGGGTTTTACTGTATAACTTTTTGCTCCACTTTTTAAGGTTTTAATTACAGTATGATTTTCTTAAACAAATTCCCATTCAAGGAACTTTCAATATCTTTTTGAAATGAAAAAAGAGACTTGTCAATATCAGATCAGTTTATATTTGTAAAAAAAAAGTTTTTAAATAACTTTCTACAACATTTTAACTGAAATAAAGACTAAAATCTTTACTTTCTCACAGTATACAGAGAATCAAAGCAAGAATGTCATGTCACCATAACACTGCATCAATAACTATAATGTCTTTGTTTACTGCGTTGCCTTGACTACTGCGCTGCCTCTTTCTGTGTCGTCTCCTCTGTCCCCACCCCCTCTGCTCCCTCCCCCATTCCGTATTTCTTCTGCCACCAAAGGATGTACTCTAGTTTCCTGATTTCTCGTGTAGCAAAGTACTTAGGATACTGGGCCTTTTCTAGACCATGCCATGCATCTACTATCTGAAATGTGAACATTTTTTAAACAATATTTTACATTATTACAGATGATCAATACATATACTGGCTTTTATTTAAGCTGCTCATGGTTAGCAGTGACTGAACTTCCATTATAGCAGCAACTAGATATCATTGAGGTGGTGGCCATCTCAAAGGGCCCCGCTTTTAGCAATGAACATGAAAATGTAAGGTAGCTGAAAAGGGTTTATTTTGAAGGTGTTTGAGATTAAAAGGGACATAAAGTAACTACTCCCTGAAAAATAATACAATTAAGAAACTTTTAGAAATGTTTTGTCTATGAAAATTGTAGCATATCCTCTATCAAAATATGGAAGGGAAATCACAAATGTTCCATACCAAGTCAATTTGTTTGAGTTTGAGTGGACTTAAGGGAAAGAAATTATGCACTGAACAAAGATTTTAAACAGAGAGGCTATTTTTGACCTTGATCCTTGACCTAGAAACTTTGTTCAAGGTCACTGCATATTCATTGACCACTGGCACTCTGTGAATGAAGTATGAGCCAGACTGGACAAAGGGATAGAAGATATGCTCCAAACAAGGATTTTTCATATAATTCTGCTATGACCTTGACTTTTGACCTAGAAACATGGTTCAAGGTCACAGCATATCAGTTACCCAAAGGCACTCTTTGGGTGAAGTATGAGCCAGATTGGGCCGAGGAGAGAGAAGATATGCTCTGAACAAGGATTTTTCATATAATTCTGCTATGACCTTGACATTTGACCTAGAAACATGGTTCAAGGTCACTGCATATCCGTTACCCAAAGGCACTCTGTGGGTGAAGTATGAGCCAGATTGGGCCGAGGAGAGAGAAGATATGCTCTGAACAAGGATTTTTCATATAATTCTGCTATGACCTTGACATTTGACCTAGAAACATGGTTCAAGGTCACTGCATATCCGTTACCCAAAGGCACTCTCAGTCTGTGGGTGAAGTATGAGCCAGATTGGGCCGAGGAGAGAGAAGATATGCTCTGAACAAGGATTTTTCAAATACCGGGGTGATTTTGCTATGACCTTGACATTTGACCTAGAAACATGGTTCAAGGTCACTGCATATCCGTTACCCAAAGGCACTCTGTGGGTGAAGTATGAGCCAGATTGGGTCAAGGAGAGAGATGATATGCTCTGGACAAGAGATCTCGGATGGACAGAAGGACAGACTGATCACTATAGGTCGCCCGCCCAGCGGGGCCCTAATCAACTTACAGAGTAGTTAACTTACATAGTCTGGGAAATAAATATATCTTCCATAGCATGTTCCACCAGGAGAGAAATTCTCTAGAAAAAGAGAAAATGGCCAAAATAATAATCTGTAAATCTTAATCTTTCAATGGCTGCACAAAATATCTCAGTATCATTTGCTTATTTGAAGAAATGAATTATACACAAAATCCACTGAAGAAGATTTCAAACCTTTTCTAGAGTCAAACATGCTCTAAAACATTAGATTCCATGCAAATAAACAATAGTTCTACTTTTATTATTATGTTCGTTTTCCTGAGAATCATTAATGAAATATTGATTGAGGGAAAAGCTATCCTATATTCGATATCATTTTTCTTTAAACTACCGGTAATGGCTTTTATTTTTTTCATTTAAAGACTTATTATCATAATGTTGAAACAACCTTAACAGTTTAGTATAGTAGGGAAAACACAAAAATCCTATTAAATTTTTATTTACCAATAGAAAACAAACCCAAACACTTACAAAGGTGTCACAAAACAGTGTACTTACTTTTTGGGAAAATCCATTTTGTGAGCATATCTGCCTCTGCTTCTTCTAACATTTTTGCAGCTTTAACGTAATCTTTCTCATCTTTATTAGCATCAAGTTTAGCTCTCAGTTCAATTCTGGACATCTTGGCATCAAGGCTATTAATGAAAATGGAAAAAGGTCAAAACAATCATCAAAAAGCAACCTTAGATGGCAGATGAGTAGCTCTGCTATATGTCCATGTTAACTTGGATTACTGTTTTGTTTTTACATGTACTAGTAGCCAAATAGCTGTTTGTAAAGCACCCAGGGGTCAAGGTTCAAATGATCAAATCATGCACCACAAAATTTTTGTTACAATAGGTTCAGTATGCTTTGAAAGCATTCTTCACATCTTTATATCACCACATTTTCCCTGTTATAGTATTTATATTTTAGTTTTAACATGTTTGACTACAGGGGTTTTCCTACCATTTTATAACTGATCATAAATTGAAAACACAGTTGTTTTGGGAAAATTTTAAAAAGGACCAATTTTGTTATTTTCCCATATAAATGAAAATAAGGGACCAATAAGTGTCAGTTTTAAAAGAGTAAACAACTGTAGCACATATGTATTGTATATAGTATAGGCCACATCCTATGTAGCACTAGCTAGTGGGTTAACCCTTTAGCTGAGTCTCTAAAAAAATTAAGGCAGCGCGTTGGATTTTTGAATCTGAGAGTTTTTCAGGGAGGTTTGAGCCACAGTGTGGACACCCCCTAGCTAATCGGTCATAAAAAAAATGCTCACCTGAGTCATTTTGCCTCTGCAGTGTTTTGTCAGAATTTGATTCCCTATTGTGGCCCTAGGGCCATTAATTGAACTACCGGTATTCATTATCTACACTACCCCAGTAGCTTTCCCTGTAAGTTTTAGCTTTTCTGGTCCAGAGGTTCTTAACTATTAAAACTTCCTTTCACCTAAAGACATTTTGTATCAACTTTGGCAAAAACTAATTTTGGTTAAAAAATATCCCATTTGCTTGAACCTCAGATGCTGAAGAGTTCCAGAATAGTCTGCTTCAAATACTTCGTACTATAATAGTTCACTTCTACACAAAAAAGTAGTAAAACGAAGTATTTGAAGAAGACTATTGTGGAACTCTTCTATTTCTATGAAAAATGAACAACTTTATATTTTGATGGATAGTGATAGAGACTTAAAAAGATGTCCAAGGGAAAAAGTTGAAGTGGGCAGCTAATTCATTTCAGCCCATATTGATTGAAACAAGTGGTTGAAGTCGGGGCAAAAAATCCCTACTCACTTTGTATGACATTGATCTGAGATGTCGACGGAACACTAGACCAAAATATTTAGTCCCTTTGACATCTCGCTGAGATTGAGATAGAGAATCTTTAACATGTCATATGTGTCAGAACCGGGGCAAAGATAGACATAAGCATTGAAAATTAAAATTGCAGTTTACCTTTTTTTTGCTAGTTTAGCCCCCCACTTTCAAGTAGCCCCCTCCAGTCACCCCCAACTTTCAATCTGCTTCCGACGCCTACGGATATAGATTCGAAATATGTATCATATAGCCCTGCAGAATCACTTACGATATAATTATATCATTTTCTCAATATAATCGTTATATTCTCTGTTTTATAGTTTGTTATTGTGTTCAATGTCATGGAAGACCTCTATTAGCCTAATGTTTGAAGGTCTCTGTACTTGATAATAGGAAAAATACAGCAACTTACAACGTGCCAGCATTTGCTTCGAAGTTTCGACATGCCTTTTTGTAGTATCTACACACTCTCTGTCCATGTGAAAGGTATGTAAACTGCAAATGCCGCGGGATCCTTGCGGCTGCAACATTCGACACGGTCGTCATTTTGGGTGCCGACTTCCGATCCCGATCTCTTAATATGATGCGCGCGAGCATAAATTGCTAGTATGGAGGAAAGTCTTGTTTTTTTACCGTATTCTTCTCCACTTGTTATGGTCTTTGTAAAGAAAACCTACAAGGCATAAAGGCATAGCACTTTTTTTTTTACATCTGTGTAGTCACTCCAAGAGAACTGAAACGGAAACATCCTAAAAATGCTTTTGGTTTAATGTTTATACAAATTATATGTACATGTACAATGCAAGAATGTATAGCAAAAGCTTTACTGTTTTATTTTTACGACAGAAGTTAATAGACGATATCCTTTGAGTGAATCTGATGTACACATTGTGTATTTTTGCCCCCCCCCCCCCCGCAGCTTTTACAGAAATTGGGGGATATTTTAAAATATGGGTCTGTCTATCCGCCCGCCCGTCAGTCTCTTTAAATTGTGTCTGCAACATATTCGCTTCCGCACGGTATCTCGAGAAGCCTTTGAGCTTTTGCAATGAAAGTTTACTTAACAACCCCCTGTGGTCTAGCGAAGACCATCTATTATTGGGGCCAAAACGACAATAGGTTCAAAGAGGTCAAAGGTCAATGTCATAAATTCTGTGTTTTAACACTGGTTTCCGTGCAATATCTCAAGAAGCCTTTGAGCTTGTTTCACAATGCATTTTACACCATGGTGAAACTTCGGGGATCAGCTCTGTGGCTACTGAGCTATTCGCTTTCACAAGGAGTCTGATTGGAACAAGATTGTTATAGATAGTTTTGAATTTCTTTAATGTAATACTTGTACACTGAAATTCTATACCACAATTCCTCATGACATAAAAAAAACCTATTTATTTTTGGGTCAAATACCAGGTTTAAAAATTTACAAATTCTCTTTGTGTGTAAAACTTTCAATTTCCGATTGATATTTGTACAAGCCTTTGTGCTTTTGCGATAATTTAATACCACTGGTGGTTTTGTCCCCCGCTTTCGCGAAAGCGAGGGGACATTAAATCTCATTCGTCTGTTCGTCTGTCAGTTCGTCCGACCGCCACAAAAACTTTAACCTTGGTCATATCTTTTGAATGAGAAGAAATAGGGCTTTCATATTAAAAATGTATATTACCTGTGACAAGAACTTTTAAATACACTATGTTTTTTAACCTCGTGACCTTGACCTTTAAGTTTGACCTACTTTTCAGAAACTAACCTTTGAGATATTTGATCCCTTGACCTTGAATTTTGACCTACTTAAAAAATTAACTTTACTTTGAATTGGCCACAACTTTTGAATTAGAAGAGATAGGGCTTTCATATTAAACATTTGTATTACCTGTGATAAGACCTTTTTAAATACATGATTTTTGACCTCCTGACAATGACCTTGAAGTTTGACCTACTTTTCAAAAAATTTAACCTTGTTCATGTATTCTGAATGAGAAGAGATAGGGCTTTCATATCAAACATGTGTGCTGCCTGTGACAAGACCTTTCTAAAAACACTTTTGACCTTGAGGTTTGACCTTCTTATCAAATATGTTATTTTTTCCCTATAAATTTTGAATGAGAAAAGATAGGGGTTTCACAGAGGCGTAGTCACAAACTTAAAAGTGAGGGGGCTCAAGTCCAGAAATTCTTTGACAAGCAAAAAAAAAAAAAAAAAAAAAAAAAAAAAACACAAACTTAAAAGTGAGGTTATCACAACCAGAAATTCTTTGACAGGCAAAAAAAAAAAAAACAAAACCTAAAGTGAAAGTTCAGTGAAATAAAAATCCTATTTCGTGGGGGGGGGGGGGGGGGGGGGAGTACACAACTTTTTTTCAAAGGCAAGTTCCTTTTTTCAATTCCAATTTTCTGTCCCGCATTATACAACTATATTACTTCAACAGTAATGCTTACTCAGTTGTTGAACATAGAAAAAATGCCATAAAATGAGGTTTAATATTATTTCAAATATGTGATTTTGTTCTTCATTAAAAAGTGGGGGGCACAGACATACTCTTGCCCCCCCAGATCTGAAAGTGGGGGGGCTAGTGCCCCCGCTGCCCCCCTGTGACTACGCCTATGTTTCATATTTGACATGTGCATTACTTGTGACAAAATATTTCCGAGCATGCTATGATTTTTGACCCCTTGACCTTGACGATTTACCTAATTAAAAAAATCAACTTCTGTGATAACTTCTGAATGACATATGATAGGGCGTTCATATTTGACACAATTTGTCATAAAAAATGACATCTCACCCATAAAGACACCGAAAGCGGGGGACCACAATTCTTTGAATTTGCTTGATTACAGTAAATTGCAATCTTCATCATCTCGAACTCAGTAAAACTAAACTTTTAGATATCAGTTGAGTTCATATGAAATAAAAAATATTTAAAACAAAAAAAACAAAAAAAAAAAAACAAGCTAATTCAGAGAATTTGTGGAAAAAAGAGGGGGATGCTCAGATGGGGGTGGGATTCCCCCTCCCCGGATTTCCAGAATTATTAGTTGTATGCACTGAAGCAACTAAAAAAATGTAATCACAGATATAAATATTTGACTGCTTATTCTTTAATATGTGTACATGAAGATTCTCTTCATATTAAAAATTTTATCACACTGTAATATCTATTAGTTGGCCATACCATACGTCATTTCAAATGCTTAATGCCATCATTTAGTAAAACTAAATAAACAAGCTAATTCAGAGAATTTGTGTCCCCCGCTTAGTGTTTCTAGTTAAGCCTCTTCTAAACCTATGACCGCTAAATCAAAAAGGTTCTTCTTTAGGTCATAGGGGGTTGTCATGTTAAATCCCATTGCAAAATCTGGAAGTCTTCTCGAGATATCGTGTGGAAACGAAAGCATTACAGACAAACAGAAATACAGTTAGATGGACGCACAGAGAGACAAATAGACAGACGAATGGTCAGACGAACGGACGGACAGACCGAAATTAATATCACCCTCTTTCCGCGGGGAACAAATATGTGGTTCGGAATTCCAGTTAATCCTTTCAACATATCCATGATGGTATTCGAGTCAGCGGTGAATGAGAAAACACAGTGCAGTATTTAGTGCCAAGATATACATGGGATTTACATATGTTTATCTATAATTATACATGTTATAAATATGTTTATGCCCAATTGCCCTGATTTGCTATTCTATTCTATTCTATTCCATTCTATTCATACTGAGAGTAAATCGAATTGTTGATAAGGCAAACACGAACAGGATTTTTTTCCATGGAAAAGGGGGGGGGGGTTCAACGCTCTCTTCAATTACCCAGGCGAGCTAAATAATTCAATTTGATCGGGCGCGGGTGACACGAAACTTTTATATATATGTAAATTGACCAATCAACATCGAGGAAATAATTCACTGTAAATTGCAAAAGGGGAAGTGACTCAACATCATCAGAATTTGTAAATATTGGCCAATATTCGTTGTATTTTTGTGCAGAACTTAATTAAATCGAGATCATGAGTCTTCTTGGGAAGTTGTTTGGTACGGGGAAAAATAAGGATAAGACCCCCTCACCACAGGAGGCCATACAGAGGCTGAGAGAGATCGAGGAAATGTTGATGAAAAAATCTGATTTCTTGGAGAAAAAGGTGGAACAGGAACTGACCACAGCAAAGAAGAATGGTACCAAAAATAAAAGAGGTCAGTGTCTTTCGTAAAGAAAATTTGTATTGTTCAAGTTGTGATACATGTTTTACAGATGGAGATGTGTAATATATGAATGAAAAAGAAAATGATATTCATTTATAAAATCTCTTTTTCTAAGATTTTATTAAATTTGATGACCTTTTGGTGTGTTAATAAGTTGTTTTTTTTATAGGTCAAACTGTATTATTAGTACTTTGTTAATGAAATACAATTATATTAATAGTTTTGTTATTTTCAATTTAGATCATAATTCTAAAAGGTGATTATTGCTTAGAGACTACCTTTTTCATTACTTACTTAGTCCTCTTCATGCCTTGAGCACATAAAGCATGTGAACACATGAGGTCTGACTGATTTCATTGCTGGAAAGAAAATTGTGAAATTGTTATAAGTGTGGTAGACCTCAGAAACAAATGACAGCTCTCCAGGAAAAAAAAAATTTCCCTCATTCCCTGGCTGAGTAGTCATGAAAATTAATTCACTCGCCTTCAAAAAAAAAACAACAATTTCTTAAAGTATTAATTGCCTAATAATTAATGCCCAATATGGACTAAAAATATATAAATACTTGGTTATAGATGGGCAGACAGACATCCGGCAAAGTGATCCTTAAGTGTTGCTCTGCTCAGCAGGCACCACATTTATAAATCATTGTGAACTAAACCATTTACTGTTTATGTTTGATTTGATAGAGTTAGACCAAGTCCTTACTTATTTAAATGTATATGTATGACAAAGTGATCATATTATAAGTATTGCTGGTAGAACCATCATTTATAAATATGCATATTTTCTAACTCGTTAATTTGTCACCTTTTTTCATGGATATCACATGGACTTATTGTTTTCTTGAGTTATATGTATTAGGTATTCTAACCATGTCTCAAAATATGGTATTCATGGATGTAAATAAATATGTTTATTCTCTGCAGGTTAAGTGGCTAATAAGTAAGATAATATTTTCTAGATTTTCACTACTTTTAACACACTTATTTACAGTTGCTCTGGCGGCTTTGAAACGTAAGAAGAGGTATGAAAAACAACTACAGCAGATTGACGGAACATTGTCCACCATTGAATTCCAGAGAGAGGCTCTGGAGAACGCCAGTACAAATACAGAAGTATTGAAGGTCATGGGTTCAGCTGCTAAAGCTCTCAAGGGAGCTCACAATAATATGTAAGTCAGCTCGGTGTAATTTGATTAGGGAATAAGGGCCCTTATTTTAAATCATTCAGTGAAAAATTTCTCAGTACATGTATATTAGAAAGAAAAATCAGAAAAACATTGATTTATTACAAGTCATGATTATTAGAATAAGAAAAAAAGGTAACCATGATAGAAAGTAAAAAACTCATGATTTTAATGATTGAGGTTCTATTGAAACCCACTTCAATGCATTACTGTTTCTCTAGCAAATATGTGACTCTTCAATAACTCATGTTGGCACACATCATTTAGGAGTTTTGTTTCACACCTTGCCAAATACTTGCAATTAGAAGTACATGTTTTTGATGAACTCTTTATACAGGGATGTTGACAAGGTACATGACCTGATGGATGAAGTAGCAGAACAACAAGAAATAGCTGCGGAAATTTCCGATGCTATCTCTAACCCTGTAGGATTTGGTTCTACAGAAGACGAGGTAACCAAAAAAGGCTGTGTATCTAATGTGTAAAAGGACACAAATTGAAAACTATAGAGGGATACAAAATATAAATTAATACATTTTCTAAACTTCATTAGTTAACACGTTTCTGTATTTCACCTTCAGTCGAAAATGTAAAAGTCATTTTTTTTAATGACTTTAAGATCTGGTTTTAAATTGAAACTGCCTTGAATGTCTTATTGTACAGTAGTTGCATTTTCCATTTTTCTTCTGATAGGATGACCTTTTAGCTGAACTAGAGGAATTAGAACAGGAAGAAATAGATGAACAATTGATTGGTGTCCCCACAGCAACAGACAAACTTCCATCTGTACCCACCGACGAGTTATCTGTACCCTCCACCTCCAAAAGTAAGTCTGTCCTTGGTAGTTAAAACCTTAAATCCTCCTGCTCCAAAAGTCAAAAACTTCAATCCTCCACCTCCGAAAGAAAGTCTATCCCCAAATTTCAAAACCTTCCACCTTCAAAAGTAAGTCTGTCCTTAAAAGTCAAAACCTTCAACCTTCCACCTCCTTAAGTATGTCCCAGGTGGTCAGAAACTTTCACTATCCACCTCCAAAAGTAAGTATATCTGATTCCCCGTTAATCAAAACCTTCAATCCTCCACCTTCAAAAGTAAGTCTGTCCCAGGTAGTCAGAAACTTAAACTATCCACTTCTAAAGCAAGTCTATCCCCAAAAGCCAAAAACTTTTAAAAACAAATGCAAGATGATAGATCATTTAAATCACTGTGTACTTTTAAGTCTCCTCCAATAACTAAAATCAATCAAGTTGTCCTTACCTCCCAACCCTCAAACTGAAGATCCTTCCAATACCATATAAGTGAACATTTTAGCGAGACACAAATTTACTGATTTGTCCTTAAAAATTGGTATTTTATTTTTGGCGAGATGTAATGTTAGCGATTTTAAAAAGCTTACTAAAGAAGCCATTACAAATAAAGTGCAATTAGTTTTTGGTGATGTTCAATTTTAGCGATCTTGGCAATCTCACTAATAATGCCAAAAGCAAATCCTCGCTAAAAATTCTGCTTATATGGTATAAGCTAAAAAAGATGTCAGCCTAGGTACTGTAACTTCCCTCCCAGAAAAGATATTCCTTTAGTAATAGTAAACTTCATAAGATATCTGTCTATATCTGAAAGTCAATTTTCCTTCAATAAACAAAAATACAATGTTACGTTATCAAATATATTAGAGATATTAAACTTTAGTTTATGACCATTTGTTGCCAGAAGGAATTAATGGTAGTCCCCTCCACTCCCTCCCCCCTCTTTTCAATCTGATAAATGATCACTGAAATATAGTTGTTTAAGATGATTGTAGATATTCATTATGTTTTTTGCCCTCTTTCAGGCAAGGCAAAAGCTCATGAGGATGATGATGAATTAAAGGAACTTGAGATGTGGGCAAGTTAGGTTAATCATGCATTGACCAACTCGGTCTCACTGCTGTGATGAGGTGTGTGAGTGTACTCGTGGAAAACGAACACAAACAAACCAGACCTTTTATTTAATGTGTTACCGAGTATTTTTTAAAAACTTTGAATGTAGGTATTTGGGCTGGAGGTTGTGTCATTTCCATTTATTCTGGGGTGGGGAGGGGGGTTAAATACTTTATGGTGTAGATAAATTGAAAGATAATATGCACTGTTATTGCTTTTTATAGCGAATGTATATTTATCATTTTGATTCGAATTTCTTTACATGTATGTAAACTTTTCAATAAAATTAATTGTATATTATTTATATAGTTTCTGCTAATCACCTAGATAATGTGTGTAACTTTTTTTCCCTATTGTTGTAATTTCGATCTCGACATATCACAACTGTATTGCTTTTCATAAATAAGAAAAAATTAGCAAATCTCAGATTCAGTGTGAAGCATTGCCATTCTGAAGGACAGTCAGAATGGTTTATGTAGTTTGAAGAAATCATACTCCAATTTTGTTTGTAGTTTTTTTTTCAGTGACGATGAAGTAGATTGATTGGTTTATTTAGTGCTGTATTTACTTTGTGATGTAATTAGGTATTAGCTAATGTGATTATGTAATAGTAGATGTCCTTTCCTGTTACTTTGTAAATAAACATACATTATATACATGTATTAACAAAATCTTATTTTACTTGTGTTTTGTTTATCTTGGGTGACAGATTTTAAATAAAAGAGGTCATAATATTTACACGTAAGTCCCATCCCTTACTTAAAAAGAATGAATGAAATTGTTAGAGTAATTACCAGTTTTATAAATTATTTCTGATACACTGTTCTCGTTCTGTTGTTCCCCCTCTAGTGGTGGCTCCCATCTGTGAATTTCAAAACTAGGTCACCATGATCTACTTTTGAGTCAAGGATATAAGGTCCTGAGATGCATCAAATGACAAGATCTGAAGATTATTATAGTCCTAATCGTGTGCAAAATATCAAAGCATACTGGATTACTTTGAAGTGACCTTGAGAACTTCAATTGACAAATTACATAAAAAAGTGATTGTCACAGGTGAATAACAAAGGGAAACAAGAAATGTTTGTAAAACACTTATGCCCCCTCCCCCAAATAATTGGAAATTTTCTAAGTCCAAGGGGCATAACCCTATCCCAAATTGCTCGATTGTACCTAAAACGGAACTTGACCTAGATATTCATATGATAAAAAGTATATAAAATTTCATTTCAGTACATGTAACCTCTGTGCAGAAAATGAACGGAAACTGCAAATAATTGGAATTTTTCTTAAGTCCAAGGGGCATAACTCCGTCAAAAATGGCTCAATTGTATCCAAAACAAAATTTGACCTAGATATTCAATTATTCATATGATAAATCTGTATACCAAATTATATCAATATGTGCAAGGTTGTGAAGAAAATGAATGTAAACTTGGTGGACCGACAGACAGCAGCAAAGCAAAGCAATATGCCCTTCCTTCTTCCAAGGGGGGCATAGTAATTTTTCACAGTAGGGTACAAATTTCTTCATAAAATCAGTAGAGACCATAGATGCTTTTATATTCAAAAGTTTATCACCAACAAATTATGATGGAAAAAACAGCAATAGGTCACCAGAGTCACTCTGATGACAAACTAGGAATCAAACAAAACAGGTTTTCCTTAGGGGATGGGGGGATTTCAATTTCACCCTTGAATTCAACTTCTTAAAAGAAATTTTAGGAAAAATAGACATAAAAATTGAAATTTTTAAAAAGGATTTGTAGGTTGCTTGAAAGTCTGCAGTGATTCATTTAGTTTCTCCTGTTGAATGAGACTGACAGAAAAAGTATACAATCTCACAAATAACATAAAATCAAACTCACTCAATTTGCATAGTTTATTGAAATAAATTACTGCACAAGCCTCCAATCTTTGAACACATAAGCAAATAGTTTACAGAATGTACCCTAAGCCTGTGCTTTAGATACCTGGTGCATTTTTTTTTTTTTTACATTTTCTGAACAAAAGACTTTGCAAGTAGCACCATTCATTAGAAGATGCTTTGTAAATATGATTTTAAAAACAGAAATAATGTCAAATAGTTTATTTGTTCTACTTATTAATTAAGTAATAATTTGTATTTCTCACAACAAGATAAATTTAACTTGATTAATAAATTTTTGGAACACTGATTTTCAGCAAAAATGCAAGCAGAATGAGGCAGCAATATCATATTTGACCAGCACAGGTTAAACACTACCCACCATGAACAGAAGTAAATGCCCTATACAAGACTTGTTCACAAATAAGCTTAAATATAGAATAAAATAGAGTAATATCCAGGCTGAGAGAATTTTGTAGATCTAATAAATTAGGTTATAGAAAATATACACTTAATAAAACATACATACCTAAATGTACAAAATTAATATTCATGGTTGCTTTAAAAATGCATTTAAAATTCTCACTTTGGAAAGATTTGAACTGTATGGTGGGCAGTAAACTAAAACAATAGGAATTGAATTCTCTTGCAACTAAATATTTTTGGTTTACATCTATAAGTTGACAAGATAAATAAAAGTTCACAATGCATACAAATACATGTACAAAACAGGTACAATTTCAGTAGTCATTGTGTATTATATTATCCCTGTACAGAACTGAGTTACTGTTATTAACACCATGAGGAATGTGAACTTTGTTTACACGATATCACAGAGACTTACGTTCACTGGCGTAAATAAAACAATGGGTTAAAACACTCCTCCTCCAATACAGCCATAAAAAATAAAACCAGAGCCATGATTTGTCATTAGAGAACACAATCAAAACTAATACACAGGATTACTACATAGGAATATGTCTGTAAAATAAATATTTGAGCACTTTATACAATTTGAAAAAAAAAACTCTTTGACTTTCACACTAGAATTCTCTTGTACACCAATTTCCTGAACAATGTCTAGTAAAAAGAGAGAAGAGATGACAAATAAAACCCTGAGATAGTAACATTTTTTTTTCTGTGTTGGTAACCCATAAGTAAATGATTAAATACAATGCTACACATATCATAAAATACGTAATACATAGTTTTTTCAGTAAAATGATGTAAGCATTAAAAACAACACAGAAATTTTAAGATACTGTACAATATTTACAAAATATTACTGTTATATACAGGATATATTTGATTACACAATATAGTTTACAGAAAAATTATAAGCTATATGGAAGAATATGTACAAAATTAAGTGGAATTCACTGAAAGATAAGATTATGTTTTACTGGTTCTCTGTCGAAACTGGTAAAATATCACAGACTTGGTGTAAAATCAGCCTTCTATTTATGTAACTGGTTTTACACGTAATTTACACTCACGGGGCAAAGAAAGGCCAAACAAAACCAAAGGTTCAATCAAACAGAACAACATTGCCTGAATCTCAGAAATATGTTATCACTAATCACTCACATATAGGACACACATCATACACACAATTCTTGTTCACAGAAGGAAGCTTTGTAATATATAGTTATAACTGTTTAAGATTTTCAGTATTTTAATGCTAAAGGAGAAAGAAGATTCAAATTAGTATTTGTCAAGAGTACAATGTACAATATTTTTTTTATCTTCTTTGACATAACAAACATGTATTTCGATTATAATGAAATATCCTCTGATAATAGGCTCTATGATCTAAACCTACAAATATCTTACACTTAAACATTATTGCTGAATTTTAAGGTACAAGGCACAGTTAAAATTAATAAAGCATGGAGGAAATATATATTAAAATTTGTGGAGCTTAAAAGATCCATGTATGTTTTACACTAAATACATGTACACATGTATTTGCCCAACATAACTTTTAATTTTGAAAAGTGGTAAAAACAATTAATAAACAATATCAACACCCTTTATTTGTACTAGGTTTGAAAAATAAAAAATAAAAAACCTACCTTTTTTTTTTTATATAAAACTTATCTGTGCTTTCTGGTGAAACAAATGGCCAAAACCTTAACAATGACAGATGCACCAAACTAAAATAAATCTCATATGGCACCCTTCTAGAGACTAGGTGACATTACATGAAGCTGACTCATTGCAGATTTCCATTATCCATTCAAACAATATAGTCAGCATATACAGTGGAACTTCATTATCTCAAACATAGATATCTCCGAAACCATGGATATGTCTAAGTTATTGAACTCCCAACCTCTCATTATATAGGTATTTTACCCTGGATATCCAGAATCATTGGTTATCTAGTTTTTTTCTCAGACCAATTTAGTTCAAGATAATGAAGTTTGACTGTAATATACTCCAATACTAAAATGATATTTTCTGATTTCTAAAACCAAATAATATTACAAATAACTCAGACAAGTAAAAGAAAATTCCCAAAATTGTGCTACAGTTTATCAGGTAATATGTATGTAATATATTATACATAAGAACTATGTCAGTATATTACAAGGTTTGTATTTTAACCTCCGAACAAGATATTCTTCCCTGCTCAATACAATCTTGCACTTTGAGAAAAATGAAGAATGGGTGATTCAAAAGATGTTGTAATTTCTAGTTGTTATTGAGATCATTCAGAATTACAAAGTGCAGCATGTTGAGGTGTGGATATTTAAAATGCTTATAACAAACTGACAACTCTGTAGCCACAGAAAGTATCAATACCGTATATACTCGCCTTTAAGTCGGTTTTTTGGGAGTTAATCTCTGGTCCAAAACTCTTTGTCCGACTTATAGGCGAGTTATAAAAAGAATGGTATTATATGATGTCAGTCCCTCTGATTTACAAGCTTATTAAATTCAACCGACTTATAGGCGAGTATATACGGTATATTTGTAACATCAGTTTCCATGTAAAATCCCTAGTTACAGCTGCACTCTGCCACCAGAAGTAAAGGTCTCCCAGTTGACAGGAAGTTCCATGTCAAGATGCCAGTCTCTGTACGCCGTCACCTGGAGTTTGTATTTAGCTGTCCTGTTGAATGTTCCTATTACACTGTTGTCATCAAGAAGGTTCACTTTTAACCTTGACCTTTGGTTGATATAGTGTCACTGAGGCAATGTGCTGGTTCTGCATAACCTGAAAATCAAATAAAAATAAATTTTTTGTACCTTTTTTTAACATTGCAGTAAAATGAAGTAGCAAAATTTGGTTACATCCCTTTTATTGCTATTGCAGAAAAAATTATATTGCCAAACATTTAAAAAGTACACAATTTGAAACATTACTTTTTATGCAAGAAAAAAGTTTAAAACAACAGAAATGACCTGAACCTGACAGAAAATCAATCAGTAAATATATCAATATTACTAAAGTGAACATGACTAATACTCCTGGTCCTGAATCTGTCAATACTTACCTCAAATATCATGTCCTGGACGCTGAAACAGAAAGTAGAACCGAATGGATTGCTGGTGTTGGTGGAGGAGGCCCGGTTTAAGATGACTGGTTGTTGTTCTGGTTTAATCAAGAAATCCTGTATGGCATCCCACTACAACAGCAAAGGAAAAGATATATTAATAGTTCCCATGTATCTGCTTTTTTACACACAGTTTTCTAAAAAAGTGAACTATTATAAGACTTAAATACACAATGTAAAACTAATTTTGAGCTATTTTGAAAAAAAGGAACACTCCATATTGCAATTAAATTTTACTATAGCAACCACTGCAGAAATTTCACAAGAATATGGTAGGTTTCTGATCAGAGCTGACAACCACTGCTATTTATAAGAATGTTGTAGATTTCTGATCATAGCTGACAATCATTGCTATTTATAAGAGTGTGGCAGATTTCTGACCAGAGCTGACAACCACTGCTATTAAAAAGATTGTGACAGATTTCTGATCAGAGCTGACAGCCATTGCTATTTATAAGAGTGTGGCAGATTTCTGATCAGAGCTGACAGTTACTGCTATTTATAAGAATGTTGTAGATTTCTGGTCAGAGCTGACAACCACTGCTATTTATAAGATTGTTGTAGATTTCTGGTCAGAGCTGACAACCACTGCTATTTATAAGAATGTTGTAGCTTTGTGACCTTGGAGTAGGCTGTAATTTATAATTTCTTATCAGAGCTGAGAACCATTGCTATTTATAAGAATGTTGTAGATTTCTGATCAGAGCTGACAACCACTGCTATTTATAAGAATGTTGTAGATTTCTGATCAGAGCTGACAACCACTGCTATTTATAACAAGGTTGTAGATTTCTGATCAGAGCTGACAACCACTGCTATTTATTAGAATGTTGTAGATTTCTGGTCAGAGCTGACAACCACTGCTATTTACAAGAATGTTGTAGATTTCTGATCAGAGCTGACAACCACTGCTATTTATTAGAATGTTGTAGATTTCTGATCAGAGCTGACAACCACTGCTATTTATAACAAGGTTGTATATTTCTGATCAGAGCTGACAACCACTGCTATTAATTAGAATGTTGTAGATTTCTGATCAGAGCTGACAACCACTGCTATTTATAAGAATGTTGTAGATTTCTGAGCAGAGCTGACAACCACTGCTATTTATTAGAATGTTGTAGATTTCTGATCAGAGCTGACAACCACTGCTATTTATTAGAATGTTGTAGATTTCTGAACAGAGCTGACAACCACTGCTATTTATAACAAGGTTGTAGATTTCTGATCAGAGCTGACAACCACTGCTATTTATTAGAATGTTGTAGATTTCTGATCAGAGCTGACAACCACTGCTATTTATAACAAGGTTGTATATTTCTGATCAGAGCTGACAACCACTGCTATTAATTAGAATGTTGTAGATTTCTGATCAGAGCTGACAACCACTGCTATTTATAAGAATGTTGTAGATTTCTGATCAGAGCTGACAACCACTGCTATTTATTAGAATGTTGTAGATTTCTGATCAGAGCTGACAACCACTGCTATTTATAAGAATGTTGTAGATTTCTGATCAGAGCTGACAACCACTGCTATTTATAACAAGGTTGTAGATTTCTGATCAGAGCTGACAACCACTGCTATTTATTAGAATGTTGTAGATTTCTGATCAGAGCTGACAACCACTGCTATTTATAAGAATGTTGTAGATTTCTGATCAGAGCTGACAACCACTGCTATTTATTAGAATGTTGTAGATTTCTGATCAGAGCTGACAACCACTGCTATTTATAACAAGGTTGTAGATTTCTGATCAGAGCTGACAACCACTGCTATTAATTAGAATGTTGTAGATTTCTGATCAGAGCTGACAACCACTGCTATTTATAACAAGGTTGTACATTTCTGATCAGAGCTGACAACCATTGCTATTTATTAGAATGTTGTAGATTTCTGATCAGAGCTGACAACCACTGCTATTTATAAGAATGTTGTAGATTTCTGATCAGAGCTGACAACCACTGCTAATTATTAGAATGTTGTAGATTTGTGACCTTGGAGTAGGCTGTGATGATCTCCTCTTCCTCTGTCTGTTTCTTCTTTTTCTTGGGTTTGGTGACCTCCACACACACAGGAATCTTAAACTCACAGCGACAGTACCTGTAGTCAAATAAAACCCACAGAATGACAATCAGAACCGAAAGTCAAGTTACAGTGTCAATACCAACAGTGAAATCAGATTATAGTGCCACTCAGTATATTATGGCCATAATATTTTGAACCCCTACCTCTTTAATGAAAAAGGTAGGGGTTCAATATTTTATAAGGGGGTTCAATATATCGCAGCGAAAAAGTGAACCCGGGTTCAAAATATTATGCGATATTTCGAACCCGGGTTCAATATATCGCGGTATCAAAATATTATGCTACAGCGGTTCCTATAGTCTACTGAAGTTAACAAAGAAAGTCACTTTATTCCATTAAAGTAATACTATCAGTACATGTAGTTGAATAATGGTGTAAGTACCTGTAATCAATGCAAGTAACAATGCCAACACTAGTAGTCCGGTAATGATGTCAATACAGTAGTTTACAAGTTACAAAGAAAACTGGATTTACATGTAAATGGCGAATATTTAGCAGAATTTTTTGAATCATCATCTAGTCTTAATCTTCATATACTTTAAATCTTAATAGTGCAATACTATATAAATATAAAAATAACCAGAAGTCTCTGTCAAGACTGTAGCTCTACTGGTTTGTACTTATAACAAAGGATGAGAAAAGAAGCCATTGCCATCAGACTGTAGAAGGAGTAGCGTTTTAAAGGAATTTCACAGACATTTCTATTTTTAGTAACAATGGCAACACTGTTCATCAAAATCAAAAAGCGATGCACTATTTTATGTATCTTAGTGTAGTTTACTTGTGTGCCAAGTTATATTGAAATTAGACCAAAATTGTAATAGCATTTTAAAGGAATTTCAAAGAAAATTCTATTTCTAGTAACCATGGCTACACTTTTCATATAAATCAAAAACTGATGCGCTATTCCATGTATCTTAGTGTAGTCTTGAAATATTGAAATCAGACCAAAACTGTAGTAGGAGTAGCATTTTAAAAGAATTTCACAAAAAATTCTATTTTTAGTAACTATTGCAACACCGTTCATCTAATCAAAACCGATGCACTATTTTTTTTATCTTAGTGTAGTCTACTTGTGTGCCAAGTAATATTGAAATAAGACCAAAACTGTAGAAGGAGTAGCGTTTTAAAGGAATTTCAAAGAGAATTCTATTTTTAGTAACCATGGCAACATCATTCAAGGAAATCAAAAACCAATGCACTATTCTATGTATCTTAGTGTAGTCTACTTGTGTGCCCAGTAATATTGAAATCAGATCAAAACTGTAGGAGGAGTAGCATTTTAAAGGAATTTCACAGAAAATTCTATTTTTAGTAACAAGGCAATACTGTTCATCGAAATCAAAAACTGATGCACAATTTTATGTATCTTAGTGTAGTCTACTTGTGTGCCAAGTTATATTGATATCAGACCAAAACTGTAGGAGGAGTAGCGTTTTGAAAAATTGTTTGCAGACAGACAGACAGACGGACAGCTAGACAGACGGACACTTTACTATCTCATAAGCTCTTCTGGTCTCTGACCAGTAGAGCTAAAAATTCAATGGTCATGTCTTCCAGAAAAATAATTAAATTCTTGATGTATTTGTATGTCATACTTACATGTTAAAGTTATAATGCCCTGGGTAATTGGAGTGCAAAATGAATTTTCTAACTTGATGAGTACTTGCATCAAACAAGATATCCTGTAAGCATAATGCATTTAATTAAGTTCCTTAACATTTTCTCTTATGTGCAATATATACTTGGTGATTAATAAGTTAATTTATTTCTCAAAACCTTGATGTTCAGAAGAAAACATGTTCACATAATTTTTTTAACTGTAATATCACTCCCCTCCCCATCTCTTCCAAATTCCCATCTTTGTGTAATTCTCTGATATATTAGACAGAGTGAAGGTCATTTCCAGTCTAAAGCTATTAGAATAATTGTCAACTAAAATCAATATTTTATAGACAAACATTATAATAATTTCTTATGAATCCGAAGAGAAAATGATTGTATGACTATGAAGAACAATTATCAAGCCTGTGTCATACTTACAATGCCTAGTGTGAAGTAGTTATAGAAATAGTCTGAACTAGGGGAGCGAAGGCGGTGATGAGAAGCCGGGGAGTGGATCTTCATTTTATCCTCAGCCTTGTAGAACACTTTACACGGGCTTCCTAGGGCTGTCACCACATCCTGTCAACAGAGAAAATAAATTAGTATAGTATCATTTATATAACCCAAATCTCATTCAAATAAATGTTAATGTGTTCAATAGGGCAAACATGATTGAAAAGAACAAATGATTAAAGCAATTTAAAGATTTTTTTTCTAAAATACAATGTATAAAATACTGAAGAAACTTTAACTAGATTATGATTTTGTCATTAATAAAGGTGTTGTGAGATGAAACATGAATCTACGCTATATGACAAGGCTTGCATATATCAATACTATAAACACAATCCAGCTGTTCTCAGACAAAAAATAAGGATTTTCTCTCATTTTTGGAAGCCATATGTTTTGTGTCCATTCTATGTCCACAAAATGTGGAAATAAAATAAACACAAATCACAGGGCTTGTCATGATTTACCTACTTTTTTTTTTTATTTAAACCATCTATTGAGACCTTACCCTGAATATTAAAACTTTATCTCTTTTGATATAAAAGATGTTTATTTCACAGGTTTATAAGGTAGGACAATCAAAAATAAAATTCATAGAGATCGAGACACATACAGATAGATGCCAGGAAAACTTTTTTCTATATGGTGACCCTTTGGAAATACTGTGGAATCATTTTATTTTGTGGGATGGGAGGTGAAAACAAAAATTTTAATAGTTGGAATGACATAATTTGATTACTTCATATATACAGAGGATTGTCGATTAAAATAATAATCAAGATCAAGTAAATGTATATTTGAAGATGGGGTGGGGGCATATAACATCAATGAAGAATCAAGGATGATTCCACAGTGACACAGGTAGTTCCTAGTTCTACAGATCAATGAGTATGTTTTTCTCTGACAGGTGAAGGACAGGTCAATAACCTGAAACAGGTGGGCGGTCTTACCTGACTGGTGTCACCAAAACGGACTATCCTCTCCACCACCCTCTTTTTAGGGTCAAGAACTTTTCCTGGACCATTTCCTAGAAAAATTAAAAAGAAATTGGGGTAAAAAAAAATGAATCTATATTGGAAGCTAAGGTAGGTTCTCCTTATGATAAAAATATCTTGCTACTGAAACCTGCCTCTGATCAATATGAGAAATGGCTAATGAGAACACATGAATACTTAAGTACTGGTACTGAAGTAACATAACATTTCTGCCCTTTTTAATGGTGTCATGTTTACATTTTGTCATCTTTTCCATTATCTGGGTCACATTTTCATGTTAAGAGGGAGGGGTTCTGATGTTTTCATTAGTAATGAGTGACCCTTTTAAAGTTTACATGGAGGGGGTTCAAAATATTATGGCCATAAAATATTGAGTCCCCCTCACTTTTAATTCATAAGGGAGGGGTCAATGAATATGAAATTTAATGTAAGAGAAGGGGGTTCCTTTTGGCCATAAAATATGAGTTGTTGTTTTATGTGAATATGGCCATAAAATATTGACTGCCCTTTGAAGTTTACATGTGCAATATATTGAGTCCCCCTGCCCTATTAATTCATCAAGGAGGGGGTTCAAAATATTATGAAAATAGTTTTCCATAAAATATTGAGTTTTTTTTACATGGAGGGGGGTTCATAAAATATCTCATTTGATTTAAAAGGTAGGGGGTTCAAAATATTATGGCCATAAAATATTGAGTCCCCCTGCATGATAAAATTCAAAATCAAAATGAAATTAAAATATTATGGCCATAAAATATCAGTCCCCTCCCTATTAATTTACCTTTTTTGTTTAAAAGAGAGGGGGGTTCAAAATATTATGGCCATAAAATATTGTTTTAATTTTACAGGGACGGGGGTTCAAAATATGATGGTTATAAATTATTCAGTCACCCTATTGAATTGCTCTGAAAAAGGGAGTGATGATAAAATATGCCTGCAAATAATCCCTTCTCCCAGTTATACATTTCCACTTCTTGAGAGTAGCAATAAAACTACATCAGAGACCAGCTTATGCTATTGTGGTTACAATTTTTCAATATGATACTCCTCCTACAGTTTTGGTCCAATTTCAATATAACTTGGCACACAAGTAGACTACACTAAGAATAATTCTGTGCATCGGTTTTTGATTTTGATGAACGATGTTGCCGAGGTTACTAAAAATACAAAATGCTACTCCTCCTACAATTTTGGTCCTATTTCAATATAACTTGGCACACAAGTAGACTACACTAAGATACATAATTCTGTCTGTCTGTAAACAATTTTTCAATATGATACTCCTCCTACAGTTTTGAATTTCAATGGCACACAAGTAGACTACATTTAATTCTGTGCATCTTTTTTATACATGTGTAAAAAATGGTGAAATTGGGCCATGGATTTCAATATAACTTGGCACACAAGCCTTACATAATTCTGTGCTCGGTTTTTGATTTCGATGAACGGTGTTGCCAAGGTTACTAAAAATAGAAATTTCTGTGAAATTGTTTCAGTAGGGCTTTCACTAAACTTGGCACACAAGTATAAGATACATATATATTTTTGATTTCAATAAACGGTGTTGCCGATATTTTTGTGAAATTGTTTCAAAATGCTACTCCTCGTACAGTTTTAGTCCGATTTTAATATAACTTGGCACACAAGTAAACTTCATTAAGATACATAATTCTGTGCATTGGTTGTTGATTTCAATGAACAGTGTTGCCATGGTTACTAAGAATAGAAATTTTTGTGAAATTGTTTCAAAATGCTACTCCTCAAACAGTTTTTCTGTGCATCGGTTTTATTTCATGCTGTAATTTAAAGTCTCAAGTAAAAAGTATAAACCAGGAGAATTTCAATCACCAAAGATTATATTTCACTTTTTTGAAATAAAAAATTGTTTTTTTTTACTATTATACCCACAATGTTCTAATAATTATATAATTTGTAAGGAAATGACACAGTTTTTTAACTATTACAAAATACAAAGATAATTTATTTGAACATGTTGATTTTGCTGTCATAAAAAATTTTAATTTGAAGTGTTATTTGTAATGACAATGAGACAAGGACTTTAAATGGGTAATAAAACACTTAATTTTAATGAAATTTATGCATTAAAATGATTTATAAGCCTTTATCCATAATATTTTGAACCCCTGATGGATTTGTTTTAGAATCCAATATATTGCATATCGCTTTAAATAAAATATATTATGGCAATAATATTTTGAACCCCCTCCTTGATAAATTAAAAGGGCAGTGGGGATTCAATATTTTATGGCCATAATATTTTGAACCCCCTCCCTCTTAACTAAAAAAGGACAGGGGGACTCAATATATTATGGCCATAATATTCTGAACCCCCTCCTTGACAAATTGTTAGGGCAGGGGGACTTGATATTTTATGGCCATAATATTTTGAACCCCCTCCCTGTTATCTTTAAAGGACATGGGGGTTCAATATATTATGGCCATGATATTTTGAACCCCCTCCCTGATAAATTAATAGGGAAGGGGGACTCGATATTTTATGGCCATAATATTTTGAACCCCTGACTAAATTGGCAGATCAATATATTATGGCCATTTTTTGAACCCCCTTCCTCTTCAATGAAAAAGGTAGGGGTTCCTATATGGAAGGGGGTTCAATATATCGCAGCGATTTTCTCAAAATATTATGCTACACCGGTACTGAAGTAACATAACATTTCTGCCCTAATGGTGTCATGTTTACATTTTGTCATCTTTTCCATTATCTGGGTCACATTCTCACTGATGTTTTCAATAGTAATGAGTGACATTATAGGCAATCTCTTAGACTTCAATGAAATGAAATTAGAGAACCTTTTCTATGAGTTGAAATATGTCACTCCTTAGTGCAATTAAGAAAAAGTTTTCAGGGAGTTTTTTTTCCATATCTCATTCATGATAAAATTCAAAATCAAAATGAAATTAATAGTATTCAGTGAGCTAGTTTTTAAACTAGGAAGTATTGGATTTGACCCTTTTTCACCAATTCTAATTGCAATTACATCCCAGCTGCTATTGTGGTTACAGCAACAAATAAGACCACAGATCCTGCCAGTAAAAAGATAATAAGAAATACTCTGTCCTACAAATTAATGACAAATTTTTATCCCTCAATAGAAATGGTGCCATTTTTGCACTTTATACATGTGTAATGGTTTGGGCCATGGATATCAGCCTTGGTAGCTCAATTTGTAGAGCACCTGACTGGAGATCCCAGGTTTGATTCCCAGTCCAGCCATACATTTTTGCTTTTCCTGTTACAGATTTGGAGCCGTTGACCACCTCTGAAATTGCAGATGAAAGTCCTGCCAGGAGTTAAAAAGAACTCCAGTGGTTGTGTTTTTGAGGGTTAAGAAAATTTAAGGAGGGAGGATTGTATTGGTTTGGGCAATGAATATTGGTAGCTCAGTTGGTAGTTGGTGACTGGTTATGCAGGTGTCCCTGGTACGATTCCCATCATACACTTTCTTTCCTGTTAAACATGGTTATTTCAATGTTAAAGAAAAAGTTCTCTTTGACAAAGATAGTACTGATTAATCAACCCAGAGCTTATCATCTCTGGTAAAAGCATGCTTGTCTGCAACAAGATCAAACATGAGTGATTCATATCATCATTTGTGTTTATAGTTAATTTGAGTTTGTCTCAAGGTTCAGTATTTCAAACTGCAATAAATATCATTCTGTGATTAAAGTCTACTGTACTTACTAGTAATTCTCACTATGAGCACACACAATTTGTGATTGTATGTCTTAATTTGAGTGTGTATCAGCAGAACATATCTTTGACTACAGGGAATCAGAGTCTTAACTCAGAGCTCACTTTCAATGCCATAGTGAATTTATTGCTCAAGTCCCAGGTTCATCCATGTCAATATTTTTGAGTCTGACTTTGAGATTACCTTGTAGGTGTAAAGTGAAGTGACTTTAATTTCAATTTAGCTCTGCAATCATAATATACTTTGAACTTATCAAAATGAGCTTGAGTTCTTCTTTAATTATGCTTACCTTCTGTGACTAGAATAAATTTGAGTCCTTTGGTGACATTACGCTCTCTCAGCACTTCAATGCAATCAGCAAAGCAGTTACCATGGAAACATAAAACAGGAAGTGGTGGAGGCCTGGAAAGCATTTTGTAAAGATAAATTTTTTTAAAGAAAATCTGACAGTTTTAAAATATGGTCTGAAGAAATACTTTTTAAAAGAATGACTTTAAGGGCCACAATTTTCACTATTCTTCAGAGGAAGCTATCTTAAAGATTTTTTTCCCCTCTTTATTACCATGAAAAAAAAAGATCCTATATTGTAACCCATCCTAGCCCTTAGTGATCACAATTTACTCAAAACAGATCCCCTACTTTTGGTTCAGCACTACCTTCAGGGTGAGATTTCTGATTAAATTTTAATCTACACCCATTCCTAGTTTTATCTTTGTCTGTCTAGAGAATATATTTGTATATGAAACCAACTAACTTTTGACATTTCTGAATTGTATCTTCCTTTGAAAGATGGCATGGCTTTTTATATGAACAATTTTGAATCCCTTCACCCAAGAAAACTTTCTTGTCTACCTTGGTTTAACCTGACCCTGTGATTTTTATGAAAAAAGTAAAAAATGTGAACAGTAGGGCTGTATCAATATACTGAATATGATGTTTAAGGATGTATCATTTCAAAAAAATAACTTCCCATACATATCGGACAATCAGACTTTCTTATTATTCTGTGAAAGAGTTGGGAATTTCAATCAGCATTTTCCACTGTTTTGAATTTATATTGACCAAGAATGATATAATCATTAAGGAGATAGCACATCTTAGATAAATATAATAAAACAACACATGTACATCTCTAACATGTTGTTTTAACAGTCATTAAAAGTTTGAATTTGAAGTGTAATACGACAGTGAGACAAGGACTTCAAAAAGGTTATAAAAGAATAATTTTTTTTTAATAAAATTCATGCATTAAATGAATGATGCCTTTATTTATAGACTTGCTAGAGAATCCAATACATCGGATATTGCTTTATAAAATATCGCATCAAGTTTTTTTGCTCAATACACAGCTCTTAAGTTTATATATAAATAAATGAATGGATCGAGAGACATACATCCATTCCACAGACAAAAAGTGATCTTAAAAGTTAACTTATGTAAAGCTAAAAAGTTTTACCTCTGTTTACCGAAGAACGTCCTTAATTGAGTAACACACAAAAAAAAATCATTTCAAACTATCTTCAGAGAAACACTTACCAGGTACATTATTAGTAGGTTATTCTATGTAAACATAAATTCTATTTTAAACTACTTTAAGTTTTGAATTATTTTCTTTAGGATAGATAACCCCTCTCAATTATCTGACAAATTAAAACATGTGAAACTCAAAACCAGCAGCTATACAACATTGAGTATTTTTTATTCTTGCACAATTTAATGCCCTAAAAGAGGTGGATTTCAATACTTATGAGATTTCAGCCTTTCCTCTCCATAATGATACAATGAAGTGACTTTAATCAGAGTCTATTGACAATTCAATCGGTTGATGGTGGTTGCGGTTTGCGTCAGCCCTGTTTATGGCTTGTTACCAGATATTCCCCCCACTCTCTTGGTTGAGGTAAATAGCAAACATCTACCGATTCAGTTACCTGGTAGTCCTCCACGTGTACACGTGAATTATTGATCTGCCATAAACTCTATCTGTTTTAGTTTATTTATAGCGCAGCATATAATACACCTATCTATAAGGTATACCTTTTTTAGTCTGAAGGAGTCAGTATAAAAATAAATCCCACCTACAACTCTTCAAATTATTTTCACTTCCGAAAGAAAAAAAATTGAAGATGCCTATAAGATATAAAACTTCAAATAATGTGATTGAATATCAGTTTAGAGAATTAATGAGAAATTGCTGCATTCTGAGCCTCCATGGCCTTTTTCTAATGAGAAAGATTCTCAATTTTTTTTTTTTTAGAAAAAAGATATCATCATTATAGATAATAGAGAGAATGGTCTATAATGCCATTGCTTTCAAATAATGATAAAAACCATCACATGCCTGTATAGTTTAACCAAAATTATCTCCCCTTTCAAGAAGGTTAGGCCCTTTATTTGAATAAACTTGAATCCCCTTCATCCAAGGATGCTTTGTGGCACGTTTGTTTGAAATTGTCTCAGTGGTTCTGTAGAAGAAGTCAAAAATGTGAAAAGTTTACAGACAGACAGATGGACAGACAGCTAGACAGACAGACGGACAGACTAAAGACAAATTGTGATCAGAAAAGCTCAGTTGAGCTGAAATATCACCTGAGTTACTTTGTTGATCTAGAAAAGGCACTGAGATGTTGTGCATGCTAAATGTCACTGCCCTACCCCATTGGTATTAAACCATGATTAATCACAAATGAAAAGACACTGAGTATTTTGTTATTTGTATTTAAAAATTAATCATGTAGTCAAATTTTGCTATTGTGTTTGAGAGACAGCATAATGAATAACATTAACTTTAAGAGTTAAGATTATACAGGAAGTACACATACTTTGTGTCAGCCATACTGCTTCCGGTGTACAGACACATCCTTGATACAACAGGGGAGGATCCATTAGGGAACTGTAGGGACCCCAGTCCATGGGCATACTTTGGCTGTCAAAATATTACAAAGTGTTAAGCTCTGACTTATGTTTCTGTAAATAAATCAAACATGGTTTACAATTTAGTCTGTTTACCGTGACCTTACCTCGAACTTGGATTCTATTGGAAAATCGAATGAAAGCCCTCTGAAGTTTAGCACAAACAGCTGTTTTTCAGAGTTATATACTGTAAAAGAGAAATGATTTTAAAAATGTTAAGCAGAAAATGGGATAATGTGCAGATTCAATAAAATTGTAATCAGTAAAAATATATATCATCTTTTTCACCCCCCTCTTTCAAAATGAAAAGTACAAATATTTGTGAGATTGATATCAATAAAAAAATTTATTTGTTAATACCTCCTGGATGTGTGGCCCCAAATGACTGGTCAACCTGTTCTATAGTGGGCTGTATTTGTGGGGAGTTAAAATGGACTCCACTGTAAATAAAGCACATGTACTTTACTTTAAAATCAACTGTATTATAACAGGTCAACATTAAATTTTTAAGTACCATTAACAAAATTAAAACACACATTCTTTTTTTTTCTTAATGTTGGAAATTTTCAATTTATTCCTATTATGATATCAATGAATTTTATGATGTAAGTGAAGACATACTCTTTAAGAGTTATTGACTTACCAGTATTTGAGCTTCACTTTGCTCATGTTATTTACTTCTATTATCTAAAAAGAAAAACAAGAGAAGTCTTTGAGCCACAATGCTAACCTGAGACAACTTGCTGACCTAGAGTCTTTATCTCAATAAAGTGTTTTTAAAGACATAAAACAACCTGTGACACTTTTATACACAATGCATTTACATGAACTTTTTTTTTTAATATATGTCTTTCACATATATCAATTTAAAAGCTAGTCTAGCTAAGAATGAGTAAGTATATTCATTTTAAAGGGTATTTTAAAGAACATTTTATTCCAGGCTTAAATCAAAGCCCCTTCATCACCATCTCTCTCTACTGGTCTATGATAGACAATACTGTAAATTCCTTATTTTTCACGAGTACCGGTACTTATTATCGCGAAAGGCCTCTGCAACATCAAATCGTGAGAATAATAATTCACGAATGGACAATTCATCAAGAGATTTTACATTGTTTTTAGCACCATAAAAATAAAAGCGAGTAATTTTATTTCGCAAATGGTGCTTCTTGCGAAATTACTCGATAATTAATTCCACACTTTTATTTAAGAATTTACAGTAGACGAAGTTTTAAAAAGTAGGATCGACAGACCAAAAACTATTCCATCAGAATCTCCAGTCATTGGACATGGAAATGAAATTCAAAAAAATTAATTCATTGAATTGTAAATTTGAATATTTTTTTATCTTGTTTATCATTTCAATTTTTTAAAATGTGTGCATCATAGTTTCTTTAAGGACATTCTATACACTAAACAAAATGTTTCTGGACATCATGAAAATTATATTGTAACAAGGTGTACAGAAAGTTCTTAATTCGATAAAACATTTGGTCTCCTTTAATCATCAGAAATGACAGCATATCAAGAAAGCGAAAACAGAGGGGGAGTATAAATGATTTTTTCCACAGGAATAGAACAAAACAAAGCACATATAAAAATATTAGAATCTGCTGGAGGTCAGAACTGCTTTCTTCATCAAATGGAGACCAAGGCTCCCTCCCTGACCATTGTTTTAGAGTGACCACTTGGAATTTTTATTGACTTGGCAGAAGACCCAGAGTACCCTCTCCACTAAATAACTGACCACTGTCCACTCCTCTATTGAAAGTGACCCCCTGGCCACAGTCAAGGCACTTGAAATGACCAGTGGTCAATTAAATATGTTCTTTGTGTGGAATAAAAAATGGAGAATTTATGAGAGTGGCAATGTGCTTCATCAATAATGTTTGTTTTAGAATGACCAGTGGTCAAACAGATGACAGTTTACAATGAAGACAAAGGGTAGTATCTAAATGACCTTGTGACCTTGAATGACCTTTCCCTAGGGTCACCTTATGCCATTACTATTGTGTGTATCTCAACAACTGCAGAAACAAGATTTTCACTGTGAAAAAAACTATGTATAAAGAGATCTGGCCTTTTTTTGTTACTGTTCTTTTTATATGTTCATGCAGTTATATGAAACAGGTAGGATGATTCATTGTTAAGCAATAAATCATCATCAATTTAACTTCACACAGTGACCTCATAAGTGGTCAACATGTTCAATTTATACCATTGGTGTTAAAAAAATATATCTTTTTTTGAGCGTAAAACTAGAATGGTTTCATTTTTAAACATTTATCTGGAGGTAAATACAGCTTGGTATATGATTAAATCTATGGTACCATAAGGCCATTCAGCTTTATGAATTTTGATCATGTGACTAACCCATATTTACAACCCAAGAAAAGTTTTAAAATACATCATTACATTACATGTAGTACTTTACTTCTTAAATAAAGTACATGTACATTCATATTTCTTTTTTTCATATTTATTGGACCAAACACAATTAATTTTCAAGTTTAATATTCAATCTTTAATCTTCAAATGATTTGAAAAGAATGTTTCAATCATTTCAAAATTTCAATTTTGGGTGAAATTCACGTCGAGAATTTGTAACTATATATTTTCCGTCTCAGTCCTACAGTACAGGCCACGAGTTTTCCGCATCGCTCGGTGGAAAAAACACCGTGTGAAACGCTCTGTGTTACACCGTGTACATGGTGTAGCACGGTGTGTGTGGATTTGAAATAAACAGGTAGGCACACCGTGTGAAACGCTCTGTGTTACACCGTGTACATGGTGTAGCACGGTGTGTGTGGATTTGAAATAAACAGGTAGGCACACCGTGCAACACCGTGTCTAGAAAAATCTCAGGTAATGTCCTCGGTGTCGCACCTTGTCCAGTAAATTTCCCTCCGTGTTGCACCGAGTGTCCAGAAAATTCTCCTCCAAGCTGCACCGTGTAAATAGTATTACAGACAAAATCGTTTGTTTCTGATAAAAATTAATAAACTTTGATGACAATTTATAACTTTGGTTTATGAATATATAATAATCGTTTTTAATCAACCAGATATTGGACTCTGAATGGCACGCATGATATTGAGATTAGATATCGGAAAAAAATGAATGATTTTCATTTGAATTAACTGTGTGTCTAGAAATTTTTATTTTAGTAAAATTATCCATTCACTTTACAAAATAAAAATTATGAATTTTATTTTAAATGAATATTAATTTAATCTCAAGAGTTCATGCAACAAAGGAAGACAAAATGGCGTCGAGCTGCATTCGTGTCACACACACTGTATGTAGTATAAAATCCGAGCTGTATTTATGTTCATGGTTTTAACATGTATAGTACTAGTGTACGATCCAAGCATTCTTATGTATATTCCTTATTAAAATACATGTATTTTATTCATCTTGAATTATTTCTGAATGTGGATGCGAAAATCGTCAGCAGAAACACGAAATTAATGCGTATTTCTCGTAACAGCAAATATTATTTTCATAGAGTAGTGTTCACTACCACGTTATGTTTTTAAAATCCTTTCAGTGTAAATAATTATTTAAAAAAGATTTTCTTTATTCTAATAAGTTTTTCTTTTCTTGTAAAGTGTCAGAGAGAGAGAGAGAGAAAGAGAGAGAGAGACTCATACAACCCCCTTCTATCATAGTCTGCATTTCTCCAAAATTGATTGTATTCAACGCAGAAACTTTTATTTCAGTTGATATTTATTATAGATAACAGTTAAGAATTCATATATTTGAAAACCGTCTATCTGGATAAATTAAACCAGGGAAGTAATCCATATGTTAAGATCACGAGATGTATATTAGAGCTAAAATATGTATATTTCTTATAAGGCCTTTATTAAGGTGATATGTAGGCCCAAAGGGCCGGATGTTTGTATTCTGATGATATTGCACGATTGTTCATGTTGTTTAACACATGTCACTTTAATAAATAAATACACAGGCACCTGACGTTACTTATTTTTCTTTTCATTAAAAAATATACACATACCTAATAATAAACAAGGTCCCCAAGGCGCCATCTTGAATTTTTCTAGGTCTGTCACATCAACTTGTATTTTCGTCTGAAACTCCGTCAAATAAATTCTCTGCAACCATATTCTTTCTGTGACCAGTCTTTCGAGGTCTAAACTTACGGACAGTGCAACCAGAAGGGCGCATCACACTTGCAAATATTAAAAATCCCTCGTCAAACTCGATCTACTGCTTCAACAATCCGAGAAATCGCCAAAGGGGGGCCGGAAGTTTACATCAATATGCTAATGGGAATTCCGTATTTGTCAGTTTTGTGGTGGATCTAAAGCGGCGTGTTATAATTACTTTGAATTTTAATAAATATTTCGATTATTGAAATGAAAAAAAAAATGCAAAATGGGAAAAATAAAACACTTCTTATAAACATACCTGTAAAATATACTGTATTAATCTATACCGATCGTTGCGTTTGAAACAATCTTGAATAAAAGAGGGGGGTGCTTGAAAAAAAAAAATCAACAACAAATCATCCAGAGTTAATTGAATGGTTTTCAGAAAACAAAAGACTGCAAACCATCCAGTTATATATATACATTATGTAACATATATACCTGGCATATGCTTAATTGAAAAAGGGAAGGGGGCACACTGATTAAAGGCTCGGGGATATGTAATGAAATCAAATATTAGCATATGCATCATGTAACGTTATATGTATAATCTGTCACCAAGAAAAAAAATAAAAATGTCGCCATGCCACTACTTTATTGCAATACATAAAATTGCAGATCTCAACACTCCCTGGAATAATTTTAGTGTGGAACCCCCCCCCCCTTCTCACACACGTGCGTACATATTTTAGATAAGTCAATCTTCTCCACGGATAACGCTCAATCAGGGCATCAATAATGACAGTGTTATTAATTATATTTAGTGCATTTAAGTCCCGACTCAATATTTTGTCTTGAAAATGTTCATTGATCATGTTGATCAGCTAGCATGATCAGGCCGATCTTCGACATTTATAAAATATAATCGCTTTGATCAAGCTATATCGAAATTGTTTTGAGAGATATAAAATGAATGTTCTTACATGTATATTACGTTGTATTATTGTCTGAATTATTGTTTTTGGAATAAGTATACTAACTTTCGCAGGTTATTTTTAAAAATAAATCGTACAAATATATTAACCAATCAAAAAAGGGCTTTCCCTAAGAATTTCAAATCGTATGTAAACTTCCGGCCCCCCTTTGGCGATTTCTCGGATTGTTGAAGCAGTAGATCGAGTTTGACGAGGGATTTTTAATATTTGCAAGTGTGATGCGCCCATCTGGTTGCACTGTCCGTAAGTTTAGACCTCGAAAGACTGGCCACAGAAAGAATATGGTTGCAGAGAATTTATTTGACGGAGTTTCAGACGAAAATACAAGTTGATGTGACAGACCTAGAAAAATTCAAGATGGCGCCTTGGGGACCTTGTTTATTATTAGGTATGTGTATATTTTTTAATGAAAAGAAAAATAAGTAACGTCAGGTGCCTGTGAATAAATACTACTACTAGTCTGTAATTTTTTTTTTTGGATTCTTCGTTTTATTTAAGTTACGGAGGTAACAATTAATCATTCTATTATTAGGCCTATATTTAATTGCCATAACTTTTGTTCAAATTAAACCCATGTACTGCAATCAAATTCGTTCTCAGTATATGCTGTACGCACAAAATCCTCGTGCATCACCTGTCCCATGACGCTAGGTAAACTTGAAAGTCTGTTTACGCGGAAAGAATTTCACTTGTGATTTGAAACAATCTTATGGTCAGTTCCGAGTTCACACCTGTTTAAAAAATATATTGGGTCTCTGCCGGTGGGCCAGGGGCGCCGTATGTTTATCACACCTTTCAAATTCTTTAGCTCTGACCACGGCAAGTGTATAACACACTCAACTGATATCATGTGAAATTTATCTTCCAGGTTTCACTACAACAACGATTATAAACTTACATGTACTTTGTTAAGGAGGCTGGGGGTCAACAATTTAACCACAAATTAACCACCAGATTTAACTAATTTTTTTAGATATGATATCTTAAGCTGTCAACTATCATTTGGCAAAAAAATATTTAAAAAATTTTAGTTTTAAAATTTGATCATTTTCTATATCTTTATATGGAGCTCTTCTTTTAAAGGAGATAGAAATAGTCTAAAAATGGCTGCCACCCCCCAGCCTCGTTAATTTATTTATCCTATTTCAGACACAAATAAGCATGTATCTCGTAGATTAAGATTTAAAAACAAGAGGCCCAGGGGCCACAGCGCTCACCTGAGCACATCAGCTAGGAAAAAACACATATCAGATCAGACCTGAAAGTTAACTTAAGTTGGGGGGGGGGGGGGGGGGGGGGGGGGGGGGGGGGGCTTGAATTTTAACCCCCAAGGGGATCATAATTTGAACGAACTAGAATCTACATTACCTGAGGATGATTCCATACAAATATAACTAATCCTGGCTTTGAAGTACTTGAAAAGAAGATTTACAAGAGGCCCATGGGCCACATCGCTCACCTGAGAAGCTTTGACCATTCTGTTCTTTACTAGATTTCCCCCTTGTAATACATATTGTGACCCCACCCTACCCCACTGGTCATAATTTAGACAATTTGAAATCTACACTACCCCAGGATGCTTCCACATAAGTTTCAGCTTTTCAAAGATTGTCCAATATATTTCTATGTAAAACTTTGATTCCCCATTCTGGCCCCGCCCTAACCCCTGGGGGTCATGATTTGTACAATTTAGAATCTACACTACCCCAGGATGCTTCCACATAAGTTTCAGCTTTTCAAAGATTGTCCAATATATTTCTATGTAAAACTTTGATTCCCCATTCTGGCCCCGCCCTAACCCCCCCCCCCCCCCCCCCCCCCCCGGTCATGATTTGAACAATTTATAATCTACACTACCCCAGGATGCTTCCACATAAGTTTCAGCTTTTCTGGCCCAGTGGTTCTTGAGAAGAAGATTTTTAAAGATTTTTCCTATATATTTCTATGTAAAACTTTGATTCCCCATTGTGGCCCCGCCCAACCCCCGGGGGTCATGATTTGTACAATTTAGAATCTACACTACCCCAGGATGCTTCCACATAAGTTTCAGCTCTTCTGGCCCAGTGGTTCTTGAGAAGAAGATTTTTAAAGATTTTTCCTATATATTTCTATGTAAAACTTTGATTCCCCATTGTGGCCCCGCCCAATCCCCGGGGGTCATGTTTTGAACAATTTAGAATCTACACTACCCTAGGATGCTTCCACATAGGTTTCAGCTTTCCTGGCCCAGTGGTTCTTGAGAAGAAGATTTTTTAATGAACCCACTCTATTTTTGTCTTTTTTTGATTATCTCCCCTTGTTAAGGGATTTGGCCCTTCATTTTAACAATTTAAATTCCCCTTCACCCAAGGATGCTTTGTACCAAGTTTGGTCAAAATTGGCCCAGTGGTTCTTAAGAAGAAGTCGAAAATGTGAAAAGTTTACGGACGGACGGACGACGGACACAATGTGATCAGAAAAGCTCACTTGAGCCTTCGGCTCAGGTGAGCTAAAAACATAACATAAATTTGCAGACTTCTGATAAAGTCTTAGCCAGCCGATTCGTATCGCTTTCTGGAAGGGGGGGGGACATTTTTAAAAATCGCGAAATATCTCTCTGTTTTCTCAAACTGTTTTTTTTTTATTTTTTCGTTTCATTTTTCACACGATATATTTCAGAATGAAGTAATATTCGTACCGAAGTACACTGTAAGTACATTTCATTTGCCAAAAATTCGGCTGGTGATTTTTGTATTCAGCGTGTAAGTTGATCACTATTTTAATTAAAGAAATTTATCAGATTATCATCTCTGCCTTTTCAGTAGATTTTCGAGTTTACCGCATTTAATTTTTATCTCCATATTTTACATAATTACAGATTTTCAGTGATTAGTCACGGCAATAATCCTTATCTGAACCTGTCCAATGATTCGCCGAGTATCGTTACCGGTATCAAAGAGCTGAATTAATGTGAGAGTCTGATTCGTATTTTTTAAAAATTATTCTAGACATAGTACATATATAATCATATATATTTTTAAAATTCTTACAAAATATTAATTCACTTAGTATAATCCCGCATGTGATATATACTACCAATGAATGCAAACGTAGGGATCAATATAAATTGAATTGAACACGGTTAAAATCAAAATCGAAAGTAGAGACAATCAAGTAATTCATTTATGAAAGTGTGGTTCTTCTTAGTGTAATATAATAATAATAATAGTCTATTGTACTTTTTATGACTAATATAATTAGGATTTAATTTGAAACGTGATTGTACATTTGTTTTACTGGACATGAGTACGTTGTTATGAAATTTAAGGCATCCTTAAAAGGTTTAACATCTGTATGCGATAAATTACCAATATTAATTTATGGAAAAGTACAACAAATATTTCAAAAGAAATTTGATTTAATTTTATTAAATAAGGGCAATGAAAATGTTGAAAATATTTATCATTAAAACTGTGACACAACCGTGTTACACGGTGCACAGAAACGCTGACTTCAAAGACGCCGACAAGGTTCGAGGTCCACGGGGCCCCGTGTTTTTTGCGGAAAACTCGTGGCCTGTACTGTATGATCAGTAGACCAGTCCGTTACTCCACTAATCTAATTATGTATTTTATTATGTCCAGAAAATCATTACTGACTTCATACATCACAGAGTAATAAAGGGACAGATTTTCATCACCAAGCCTTTGAAATCTGAACCCTTCTGACCATAACAAAAAGTTTAAAGTGGTTTTCCTTCCTTAACAAACACACATCACATCTTGTCCATCCATTATTCTGGACTTAGTTATCATAAAAGTCCGCCTTCTCTGACCCAGGCAGTGTTCTACATAATAATAAAGTTTCCAACTTGACCAATAATTATCCATAATTCTTTTCAGACCAAGGGATCCCCACTGACTTATTTTCCGTTTAAGTTTTGTACAAAGCATTTCATCATTTCTATGGAAATAGCAAACAATCACTCCCTTCTTTACCCTGCATCGCAAAATGAACACAAAACCCTCGATAAACCTGTCATTTTCTGCAGTTAATTCATTAAAAGGCAAAATCACCATCAACAATGCCCATCTTGCGAAAAATTATTACAGGTTTTTCTTTTGCGTAAAGTTATTAAATTCAAAGCAATGATTTTGGTCCAACATATGTGCTTGTTTTTTAATCCCTACTTGATTCTCAAAGACCAGCTGTACTGAGAGTGAAGGGGGTGAAATAAAATCTCGGTGGTCTATTGTGGCTGGTCAACTCTGTGATGTCTAGCTTAGAACGCAGACCTTATACAATGGTCACAGACCTTTGTGGCAAATCTAGCTGAGGATCTGATTTCTAATATGATGCTTTCATTAATTTTTGTCTGTCTCATCCTTACTTCATACCCACATGCATTTAATTGCCTTCAGAGTCCTGTCCACAAACTTTGTTCTCTGTGCTCTGGTTATAAAGCAACCTTCTTAATTTATCATTTCAGATAACATTTTAAATACTTTGTACGACCACTGTGTAACAAAAGAAATCTTTCATTTAATTAAAAAAAAAAAATTCATAAACTTTAAGATAGTGAACAAACCTTGAGTCTTTGTGATACAGGGTCAAAAATCAGTCGGATTCCATCATGTGACAGATTAAGTACAAGGTCCATTTGTAGAGGGTACTGAAACAAAACAACACAAGATACATGTATATAGAACCTGTAATTACAGATGTATACAATTTCTTGCAATTTATATGAAAATACAAAGGATGCTCATATTAAATGCTATAGTTATACTAAACTGAATCAATTATTCTTCTCTCTTTCAACAGAACCCCCAGACCACCACTACCATCACCCCCTCCTTATCCCTCAACCTTATTAATTCTTATTCCTGGATAACTGGACATGAAATATTCACTGTTTCTTTTATGATAAGTATTTAAAGGTTACAATTCCTTGGTTCAATGGATAGAATTTTTTTTCAACTTACATATGTTGCAGTGCATTTTATAAATGTTAAAGCATTCTGAGAAGATAAGGAACAAAAGCTACGGACAGAAGTCTTTAATTATAACTGTTCTACGCTAGATCCTGTGACAAAGTCCCCAATCGATTTACAAGGGAAAAAATTCATCTTCATTTTAACAAGTTGGAGAAATGCTAGATATGACAGAAATTAAGCATGTTATTTTTTTGTCTGGGGGTTTATAGGAAATGTTGTTTGGAGTTAATTGACAGCAATTTGTAGGATAAAAAAGCATACTAGAACCCCCACAAAATTACCATTCTAAATGACCTGCAAAGGGCAATACTCAATGTATCAATGCCAAGACTCTGCATTTGTCTTGTTCAATTTCACAGCGGTCTAGATCTTTACAAATGGGCCGCTTTAAAGAATCGCAGAGTGACCAGGACATTATCTGGAGGCTTCCGTGGAATAAATCTTAACAACCCTCATTTCAATCACTGACATTTTGCTTCCTTTTTACAAATGTGTTTTTACACTGTCTCCAGAAGCCAGCATTAAACTCTGCAACATGAAAAATATGAATGTTCCAAACAACTGGCAAATGACTATATCACTCTGCTTTCTGGTATACAGTATTACCCCTTTACACATTATTCCTTTGTTCTTTACACTAATAACCATTACAAATATACTATAATTAATCTCAAAAGCAAAGTACTGAATACATAGTCCCATATCCAAGGACTTAGTACCACAGCATGATTTATTCCTAGTACATAGTGCTGACTTTTAAAACATCTGTAATATGATAAATGGGTCACTTTATTTTGCATACAAACAGAAATAAAATTACAATTGTCCAGATTTGTTCCCCCCGATCTTCAATAATATTTTGCTGGAAACCCAAATCTAGTCAAAGATACTAAATTTTCTTCTTCATCAACATACAATTTAGCTTTTTGTTGTGAATATTGATTCACTAGCTAGTTATCAATCCAGCAATGATACTGCAATATATCGGCATGTATTTTAAAAAAAAATTATTTGGTATTGTATTTTGGAGGTACAAATTTAAAATGTGGCAAAATTGTTTGCAAATGTTAAAGGGCGAAAACAACATGGGGCGAAAATAACTGTGTATACAGTAGCTCACAGTTTTCCAACTTCAAATCACATCTGTACAGCATTCAAGTAATATTAATGGTTGGCTGTATACAGTAGAACTTTGGTATCTCAAACACAGATATTTTGAATACCATGGATATGTCGAAGTGATTTTGTAGTTCCAAGCACTTTTTTCTTAAGTATTCTACCCTGGATATCTATAAGTAATTTCTTGGTCTGATCAAGTTTAATATAATGAGGTATGACTGTTTATCCCCCATAAACATTTCTGCAAGTTTGGTTACTTTTTGGGACATGTACCTGGTAATCATTTGGGTATGGATCCCAATCATTTTTTTTTCCCCAAATTTTATCTATATTACATATACATTATAAACACACCAATAGAAATCAAACAACACGTAAAACAAACAATGCCACAAATGTGCCTGGATATTTCTACGATGACTTCATTGTACAGACAACAACAAGAGGCCCAGGGGCCACAGCGCTCACCTGAGCACATCAGGCTTGAATTTACTCCACCCCCCTCCAGGCATTCATCATTTGAACAAACTAGAATCTACACTACCAGGAGGATGATTCCATATAAATATCACTAATCATAGCTTTGAAGTACTTGAAAAGAAGATTTTAAAAGGTTTCCCTATATATCCCTATGTAAAACTTGGGTCGGCCATTTTGGCCCCACCCTAGCCCAGGAGGTCATGATTTGAACAAACTTGAATCTACACTACCTGAGGATGATTCCACATGAGTTTCATCTTTCCTGGCCCAGTGGTTCTGGAGAAGAAGATTTTTAAAGATTTTTCCTATATATTCCTAATATGTAAAACTTGGGTCGGCCATTTTGGCCCCACCCTAGCCCCGGGGGTCATGATTTGAACAAACTTGAATCTGCACTACCTGAAAATGATTCCACATGAGTTTCATCTTTCCTGGCCCAGTGGTTCTGGAGAAGAAGATTTTTAAAGATTTTTCCTATATATTCCTATGTAAAACTTGGGTCGGCCATTTTGGCCCCACTCTTGCCCCAGGGGTCATGATTTGAACAAACTTGAATCTACACTATCAGGAGGATGATTCCACATGAGTTTCATCTTTCCTGGCCCAGTGGTTCTGGAGAAGAAGATTTTTAAAAATTTTTCCTATATATATTCCTATGTAAAACTTGGGTCGGCCATTTTGGCCCCACCTTTGCCCCGGGGGTCATGATTTGGACAAACTTGAATTTGCTCTACCTGAGGATGATTCCACATGAGTTTCATCTTTCCTGGCCCAGTGGTTCTGGAGATGAAGATTTTTAAAGATTTTTCCTATATATTCCTATGTAAAACTTGGGTCTTTTGGCCCCACCCTTGCCCCGGGGGTCATGATTTGAACAAACTTGAATCTACACTACCTGAGGATGCTTCCATATGAGTTTCATCTTTCCTGGCCCAGCAGTTCTGGAGAAGAAGATTTTTTAAAAATGCCATTACTTTTTCACTAATTCCTAATTATCTCCCCTTGAAAGAGGGCATGGCCCTTCATTTGAACAAACCTGAATCCCCTTTACCTAAGGATACTTTCTGGCAAGTTTGGTTGAAATTGGCCCATTGGTTCTTGAGAAGAAGATGAAAATGTGAAAAGTTTACAACAACGACAACGACGACGACAACGACTACGACGACAACGACGACAGACAACGGACAAATTGTGATCAGAAAAGCTCACTTGAGCCTTTGGCTCAGGTGAGCTAAAAACACATTTTGATTTTTTTATTTGTTTGCTTGTTTAATATCCATTTGAGAACTTTTCACACATATTGAGATGCCACCACTTGCCGGTGGAGGGCTGCAAATTTGGACCTTTACTCAACCCTCAGGTATCAATGTCCCACAGTGGGATTATAAACCCATAGCATAAGGATCAACTCCTTACTCTGCAGCTCAAGAGTAAACCAAGTTTGATAGTATCTACATCTGTTAATTTGTTAAAGCAGAGATTGTAACTTTACAAAGCATTGCTGAGAATTCTGCTAAGGACCAAATAATACATCCCTTTACTCCTATATTTGCTAAATCTGTGTATATACTAAATAAGTTTTCCTTTAACTATATGATTCAGGAAGAATACCTGGTGACTGTACCACACTTGTACTCCCTTGATTTGTCGATCCTGGCGTTTCATTATAGCAACTGCTTGATAGAACGGCATTCCTGAAAAATAGATTGAGCTGAATGAAAAACTGTACTTAGCTTAGAATGTCAGCATCACATTACACATTGTGTATTGCTTTTCTTCCATTCTCACTGAGAATCAATGAAAACTCTTCAAATCTTTCAAAAGAGGGAACTAAAGGTTTTCTTTGAATCTGTCCATTCGGTTGCTCCATTGTCTATCATTTTGTCCCACTTGGTTTTCCACAGTTTTATCCTAAACACTTGTAGATTATTTTTGCACTGATTTTTTTTATATGTGACTGTATCTTGATGTCTGCTTCAATGATATTTGATGGAATAGTTGGCCTTTTAAATTTGTTTAGATCTGCATCTTTACTTAATGCTTGCAGATATAATTTTTAAAGTTGATTTTTGTTACGTTAACTTGATGAGTTAAAGATTAAGTTTGTATTTTGTTCTGCTTCAGTGATTTTTTTGTGTGTTATATTGTGACATTTATATACATTTTTTCACAGACAGTAATAAAATTTTGTAGTCTAAATTATCACCATTAATCAAGAACCATTCTCTTTTTTTCCCCTAGTTTTTTTATTTAAGATAAAGGAGAACTGAAAACCAAGATCATATTAAAAGTGGAAGTAATCCAATTTAAATAAAGCATAAATTTTTCCTTGACCAAATATTTTGGTTGATACAATCATGATTTCAGCTAAGTACAAGTCTTGTAAATGTACCACCTCTTTCTAATCTTCTCGAAAGCCCTGCATAAGCATGATAAGCAAATGAAACAAGAAGTCTGTAAGGCAATGCTCACTAGTAATACCCCCGCTCTGATGTGAATATACACCAAGACGTTAATATACACAAGTTCATTTATGGGCAGATGCATGGATAAATAGGAAGTTGACATCAGATTTATTCATACAAAAATAAATCCCACCATATGGCATGCCTCAACAAAGTATTGCTAAAATTTCAATCATATGCAACGAATAGTTGCTGAAAAAACTGCAACGAAAATGTTTCAAGTTGGTACAGACAGACACACAGATAAACAGGAAGCTGACATCAGATTTGAACAAAAACAAATCCCACCATATGGTATGCTCAGAAAAGACTGTGCTAAAATTTGAAACATCTGCGATGAATAGTTGCTGAGAAAACTGCAATGAAAAGTTATGTATGGTACGTACAGACACACAGATAAACAGAAAGTTGACATCAGATTTGAAAAAAAAAACAAATCCCACCATATGGTGTGCCTCAGCAAAGAATGTGCTTAAAATTTAAAACATCTGCGATGAATAGTTGCTGAGAAAACTGCGACAAAAATTTGTTATGTATGGTACGAAGTCTACAGACAGATAAATAGGAAGTTGATGTCCGATTTGAACACAAACAAACCCCACCAGATGGCATGCCTTAGCAAAGAATGCGCAAAAATTTCAAGCATCTGCGATGAGTTGTTGCTCAGAAAACTGCAATCAAAAATTTGTTATGGACAGACACACAGAAAAACGGACAGACGGGCAAGGGTAAAACAGTATACCACCTATCCTTCAATATTTTTAATTTGTAAAAATAACACCGATGTATCCCCCTAATCAACATTGATATTAATCATCTAATTAACTATAGTGCAAACATTTAGCTAATCAAAAACATTAGATATAGAATCAAATCAAAAATTAATTTAGACTAAATAAATGTTGCTCTTTGTATCAGAATTTGAGAAAAAAAATTCCAAGTTCGTAAGGGAAATAAATAGAAAAAATGATATACTCGTATGTTAATTTTTTAATTCATATATACAAGACTTAGTATACATGTATATAAGTATTGGGCGAACCACGTGTAGGGCGAACAAGATATTGGGCAAAGAATATTTCGGGCAAACGGACTCTGCACGGACGGACTCCTGCGAACAGTAGATCGGGCGAACGAACCCGTTACCGTCTAGCTACAGCTAATGATTGGGAATATGAACTTGAAGGTTTAGTCTCACTCTGAATTGGTGGGACTCTGTTTTGTGTATATATTCTTTACAAATGGAATAATAATTTTCGAACAATAGAATTAGTTTCAACTTTCAAGTATGATAACGCTCACAGGTAACTTGTTTGTTTACAATGATCAGCTGTTTCACATTCGACCTTCACCTTATGTATTTTTGCACTGTTTTTTCGTAATTTTATTTAAAGTGAAAAAACAATAAATGGTTTTGTTATTTTCTTGCCAAGTAGTTTCAATGGGCTGACATTCATCTTTATGTGTAAAATATCGCAGAGTAGTGCAAAAAACAAATTTGTCTGGCTTACCCAAAACAAACTCCCATTGTTCATTTCCAAGTGATCTTTCGGGAACAACCTCAAGATCAAGCATCATATTAAATCTACTTAGCCTAAAATATTGAACAAACTTTCTATTGAATTCAAGAATCTATTGAAAAGACATCTTATGTTTTTCTGTGTTGTCGTCGTCTAATAATTCGCCATTTTTGTTTTGAATCGTTTACGCATGCGTATTTTTGAAGTTCCTGCGCACTTGTTAGGCGGATCACCGACCTAAACATCTGGGCGGATCCAGAGTAAAGATAATGGATCGAAAGGTCGTACGTTCGATTCATGGCCCCGACTGACCAAAGTCAATAAAAATTAGAAACTGTTTTGCCAAGCGTTTGGCATTTTGAAGTTAAAAATTCAAGTCCTTTAAGGTAGGTCCGTACTTTCCGAATTTTCTGTCAAACTGAAATTTTTTTAATTTAAATACCTTGAAAAAGTCTTAAACTAACGAAAACACCCATAAAAGACATATCTCTTAGCAGGTTAATTTTCATACAACATGTCTCAGAGCACATACCTCTAAAATCTCAACAGCCAAAATTGAACATAAAGAAGTGAGATATCATATTTTATTTAGTTAAGCACCAAATCACATCAAATTTATTTAAAACTTATGAAGATCAAAAATATTCATTTACTGCAAAACATTAACAAATTGATGTTGAATCTGTCCATGTCTTTCAAAAAAAAATCTCAAAATATCTTTATTTTTTATAATTCTCAAAATCCCAACTGTTTAGATGCCATTTTTTCTTTAAAACTATTTAAAATTATATCTAATGTTAACAAAAACACCTACTTTATTATAGTTGACCAGAGAATTTTAACAAAACAGTCTTTTGAAGACGTATACCCCCATTTTTGGAATATCAATTTCTTTAATTATTCATTGCAAAATTTTCAAAAAGTAAAAATTAAATGGATGGTATAGGCTCTAAATCAATAAAAATAGATCTCAGGTTAGTTTGCTTAAAAGAAAATTAAAAAGATTTAGGTCCATAAAAGCAATTAAGAATTTTGTGTCTGTGTATGTACTAAATGACATATAGATTTTATGGACAGAGTGCAAAGTGTTAATTTCCATAAATAATGTATATTAAATGCTTTGTATGCACAATAACACTATAATAAACAAATATATACTTGCTAAATCCTTTTCAATCACCCAAAAAGATTTTATATCAATAGACAAGTGAAAATCAGAATTTTATATTGATGTGTAAAATTAGAACCGGATCCGTAAAAGTGTGGACCTTCCTTAAAACCGAGGTCCCGTCAGCATGGTCATGTAGTGTCACAGTAGGCGTTAGCACGATACAGAACCCTCACTGCTCAATGGTCCGGAGTCATTGAATGCCGAGTAAACGGGAAATGTCGTTAGAAGCTTCTCATCGCTCTTAATGAGTGAAAAATTATCGAACGGGACTATCAAAAATAACAATCAATGAAAAATCCGGGATAAATTAAAATTTTCCTTTTCACAGAAAAGCATATCTGTTTTACACAAGCAACAAGATTGATTCAAAGTTGTTCTAACTTTACCATACATTATGTAAATTAACACCCCAGCCACCCACCTCAATTGTGTGTTGTTGACACTTAAATTGATCCAAATAAAGCAAATGTCTATACTTCATGTCAAAAGGTGTCAAAAAAGAAGAACATTTCAAATATATCCAAACCCATTTCATGAGCAGCAAATTGCATATTCACATGCCTACATAAATACACCTTCATTCAGTTTAAAAATTGTAGAATCAGGCCATCTTTAAAAAGTTGTTTGTTTGCCCTCTCCAGGAAACACCTTTTTTTCCTCACCTTTAGGCCTAAGAGAAAAAAAACCCATATTTTCCCTATCTACATAACCTTTTTTTTTTTTTAAATCCCTAGTTTGAAAAGAGCAAGCAAATTTTTATTTAGATGGCCTCACGGTTTTTATTTTTTCTTCTTCTTTTTTTCATTGAACATTTATTATTTCAGTAAGAGAATATTACACTCCTTGATAATTTTCCAAGTTTATGAATATTTGCATCGTCGCAAACCACGGCCAAAATGTACGATCCTCTCCCATTCTGGCCTTGGTAGGAGAGAGCACAGGCCTTTAGATCGCTTAGAAAAAAAATTAAGGTGTTGACACAATTTTTTTTAAGCGATCGGAAGGCCTGTGGGAGAGAGCTACATGCAGTAATATTTTTTTTCAAAATCCTCTGGAAATGAGCGACGATTTTTCTATTAAAATTCAATGAATAAAGTGACATAGTCTGCTTATGTTAATCAACACTTGTATTCTATAGTATGAGTTTTGCTCTTTAGATAATGATATATTTTTAAAAATATATCATTACGTGCCATGGCATGAATAAATGATAATATTCATTTCCATGATTGATAAGGCTAAAATATTTTTTCTCTCAGATCAACAAACAGTTGTGTTGAAATCATGCTTTCGAACCCCATGATTACAAGAGGGATACTACTGTAGGCGAGCATAGTCGGTACAAAATATTTAAAATTTGTTTTGTTCGAGTAACCCAAGAGAGCCAAAAATTTTAACCCACATCTATTCATCGAATTCTTTTCTGAAAAACAAGTAAACAATTTCTAATTTTACAAGAGAGTTGAAATTTGCTCGAAAAACATCTTTTTACAGCGTGAGAAAAACAATCTGAATATTTAATACGTATGACCTCGTAGTAAAAGAAAGTAGGTCACACAAGACCGTATATGGAGGGACTATTGCATTATTCATATCGTATGCCCCGCCTAGTAACCTTATATGGGAGCTGTCATCAAATATTGAAAATGTTATTTGCATAATAATGTATATCCGCTTACGTAGCAAATTCTACGGAAATGAATAGTCGGAAATTACCATATATGGTCATTGTCGGTATTTCTCGTCACTCGGAAACTTCACGAAGACGAACGAATTGGCCAATCAAGAGCGATCGGATACGCTCGTGTAATGTGTAGTATTGTTGTGTTTAGCATGAATGAAGTTGACTCAGAAAGCATGCTGTCAGTACTTACAAACACGCTGTCTTGTGAAGTCGGAATTATATCTCAAAGAAAAATGCCAAGAGTTGTGCCTGATCAAAGATCAACTTTTGATAACGATGAACTATTTCGAAGACTTAGTCGAGAATGTGAGGTAAAGTTTATTTGAAGTTTATTACCAGGTCACATTCTTTTACGGAAGTTTGTGAAGTTTAGATGGCGGAGTGATTTATTACATACCGTTGATCACGGATTTCTTTACCTACCGAATCTCCGAAAAAAGTTTCAGATGGGATTTTTGTTTTATGATTTCAGGTGAAATACACAGGATTTAGAGACCGGCCTTTAGAGGAACGACAATTAAGATTTCAAACAGAATGCCGGGAGGGTCACGCCGATATAGTAAGTTACTATTTAAATCACCCCTTGATCAAGACACGTGTGTGCTGTTTAGTTTAATGTTCCGTGTTGATTAAAAAGAACAAAAAAAAGACGAAAACGGAAAAAAGAGATAGATCTATATTCTTAGAATTAAACAGTTAAGAAATCGTCATATTTTAATTGTCCCCACAAAATGTTAAATTTTACAAAGTTTCCATGTATAAAACTGCACCATACTGTCTCAAACTTTTAACAGGAAATGTCATCTTTCAGTAGTACAGAATTTCATACTTAATTCATTTTTTTCTAATTTTATTTTTTATAGGCCTTTGTAGCCACTGGTACAAATTTACAATTAAATTTTGAATCAAATGCTTGGTCAGACAAAGAGGAAGATAGGATACCCACAAGAGAATATGTAGATTTTGAGAGAGAGCCAGGAAAGGTAAGATCCATCTCTGGTTGTTTTTCTCTCTATCCAGGCTAAAAAATATATGTATACCTGTATTATTAGATAATGTGTTAATTAGAAAAGCATTTATGACATTTCCTTCTATGATTTTGTTAATGTATTAGTCACAAAATCATTTTGAAAAGTCTGTCTATTATTATCAGTGTCAATGTATTTATCACAAAAAAAACATATTTGTCTGGAAGTTTTTTGCTTAATTTAACATTGTGTTTTTTAACTGTATAAAATCGGTGATTTATTTGCTAGACACTGTTGTCAAAATTTCTCCCTTGTTGACAAGACTTGATTAATTAGTGAATAATCTACCATTCTGAAGGGGCTGTGTCTCTTGTATGACATCAACTTGAAATCTGATCATGGGGTCATAACATTTAATTTATACCAAGAAATGAAAGAGGAATTTAACACATGTACATTGAATAAATTTTGGTGAAGATTAAATTTTTCGCAATCTTTTAAAAAGTTGAGATTTTTGGGATTTCCGATTATTTTTTATGATTATAATAATTTGTTCAGTCTGATGGTCATGTCATGTAGAGGAGATATTTTTCTAAGAAAGTTCTTGCTGGGGTCTTCTGATCACCAAACTTCTCATGTGACTTGGTCGAGCGGAAGCTACTCACAGTGTGTATAAGTAAAAAGGACTTCCTTTGTACTTACAAACTTATCTCTGTTTCCTCACTGACATCCGGAATGTCTAAACCAACTAAAACACTGACAAAGAGGGGGGAAAAACTCTATACAACTCCCCACAAAAGCTTGTCATTTCTCTATTCTGGCTGAATGGTCACCAAGTTTTTGTTGACTGACTTTTATGGGGTCTATTGTCCATTATTTTGCCATTTCCATAAAAAAACATGCATACAACTCTGAGCCCCGCAATGATGTGTTAATGCAGTAGAATGGAGATGTAATAACTGCACAGTACCCACAAATCATTAACTGCTTGACCTCACCCCTGTTTAATGACCACAGCATGGCTAAAATTGGGGACAATCAAAATCAGGATTTTCATCTTTCATGAAACTTCTTTCATGTGGGCGTTACAAATGTCATCCTTCTTTTCGAATAAACATGATTAAAAAATATGCAAGACTTCTGCAGGGGTGGAGAAATACATTCATTCTTTCCATTGTATTCATTATGATCAGTTTACAATGGACAATCCCAGCTTTTCTTAATACCAATTTCTTCACATTTTCTTTTTCAAAAAAGACATTATTTTTCTTTTCTAGTTTATTTCTTGAGTATTTTTGGGTCAATTCTTTTTTGCTTTGTTTTGTTTTAATACCTCATATCAAAAAAAAATTTGAAATAACAAAACAGACATGCTTTAAAAAAAATCATTTATATGCAGAGACCCAAAGGGCGTTTAAAATAAAGCTTATAACAAAAGAAAAACAGTGGTAAATAGTAGACCTTATGATAAGCATATCTTCCGACTGAATACAGAATTAATTCTTTGTCACAACTCGTACATGGTAAATATTGCTCGAGGGGGTAAGTATACGAGCCATATAGACATTAACGCTTTGTGTATTCAATGTGTCAAGCATAAGGTAAAAAAAAAAGATTTCGCAGGATAATAACTGATTACGGACATTGCATTATTGTTTGGGTGACTTTCTAACAGATTCAGTTTAAATTAAGTAAAGCCTTGAAGGAAAGAAGACTTAAGTCATGCTTTTACTCATGTACAATTATCTGTGATAAATTTAAATCCCATGAAATCTAAAACGAGTCATTAAATGCTTGTAAAACTATCTATTTAAATGAAAAACTGTGGGTTTATGCCACACCTTTAAAAAAGTTAAGAAAAGGCCTGCATGCATGGATCATTGATCATTTTTTATTAAGTCATTTTGTAAACAAATATATGTGTAACAAATTAACTTTGAATAGAATCTCCAATAACAGGTAATGCTATGAATAGTTCCTTAATTTCATCTTCACAAGAAACAGATGATAGGTGGGGAAAAATGTCATCGTTAGCCTCCTGAAGATTTTATACCATGTGGGGGTGGAAACAGCTAGCTTCCTTGAGTCAATAAACCCATGGAGGTGATTATTTAGAAACATCTACCATTCATTGAGTTTTTTTCATTAGATCCTTCAGTAGTATTGATCTTCAATTGTTTTAGCATAAAAATAAGTCATTATTGGGTTTTATCTGTCTCATCAATGCGATTTGCGGTTTCTGGTGAAATGCCAAACCACAAAGACCGTTTGGCTTGACTTGTTATGTCATACGTAGGTAAAATGGAATAACTCGACAGAAACGCAGCCACTGATGCAATGAATTGCATGCTTGTCTCCTTACATGCTTTGTTTCTTTTGTTTTGTTGTAAACAATAACCATTTAGCAAATACACAACCAGAATTTAAAAAAACAAATTTAATTAATTCACCTCACTGACGCCTCAGTTATATTCCATCATCATTACAAAGGGAGAAAACAATAAACTTATAAAACATTAATTATCAAGTTTTTAATTCATATAGACAAACATGTTGTACATGAATGGGCCATTTACATAATAAAGACAAGACAAATGTGCGTCACATTACTGTAAAAGTTCACACTTATTGTCACATTTATGTTAACTTCCAATTTGACAAAAAATCCTTACAGAAAATTTATTTTTTTGGTCATGTTCTAATGAAAATCAGGGAAAGTCATTTTTATTTAATCTTATTGATTTAATTTCCAGGATGCATATTTAATTTATATCACATATCTATAAAATTACACTTGACCTTAATTAAAATCATTTAAGATCAAAAGAGGATGAAATTGTCAAAATGTTGAAAATGATGTGACCCTTCCAACATAATTAAATAAATTTAATAAATAAAACAAAAGGCAATTTCATTATTATATGAAGTACGTACAGCTTAATTTTACCCCATAAAGCCAAATAAAAAATGAGCACAAAGAAATGATTTTTTCATTATAAATTTTTTCAAGATTATTTATTAAAAAAACAAGGGAGATAACTCATGTCTAAAACAGCCATGCTCTACTTTATCTTTCATTATCAAAGGTAGCAGCTCCAAATGCATTACACATGTGAGCTGGGATTTCCCAGTCGAATTCCAGATCACTGACCTGGCTCCAGCTGACTCAATGACCTATTTTACCTACAGTGACCACCCACTCATTTTCATTCATGAATAAACACAAAAAGGGGAGGAACAATGGATTTAAAATGCCCACTGACCATAGAAATGTTATTTTTAGAATGGTCCTAAAGCATTGTTTAAATTCGCACTAAAGATTAAAATCTACTAGAGAGAGCTTTACCTTGAATTAAGGTGTTACAAAATACCTCTAATTCCAAGTTAAAGTGTTTGCATGTGATATTTTGTTTACTTAAGTACAGTAGATAAATTACACATATGTGTTTGTATAATTATCTAAATCTCTCTCTTTCGCATTGGAGAGCTATTGCAGAAAAATCCTAGTAATATTAATTGACAACCAATTATTGTATATAGAAAAATACTTCAGATTACAATAAGCAATTTAATGTTATAGTTATTATATTATAAAATATAATTAGGGATGATATTTCACAAACATTTTATAAGAGACAGGTGCTGTGATTACTTCATCATGCCTAAACACTCCCCAGTGTATAAGGAGCGGAGGGCATACTTAGAGCCGCTCCAGGCAATATGAATCAGGAGTGGGGGTTCCAGTATATCTCAACAACCCAGACCCCCAACCTCCCACTCACTCAAATGTCATTGCAATATTTATTACCGATCATGATGAAAAGATTATTTTTTCAAGATGATATTTAAAATCGACATCATGCACCTATTTCATTATTCATTTCCATAAGTTTGTTTTTCTTAAAAGTTAACTTTTGTTATTCAATTACACTTTCCGCCTACCTGTTACGGTTTTTAATTTAATAGTGAAAATCTAAACATGTTGATGTTTTTCTGTAATTATGATATTTTTATCCATCCTTTGATAATAAGTTTGTGTATAAAACTCATTTAACAATTGACTTCAGACAAGTCAATGACTGTATCAATGCGTTTTATGCACATTACCTTTTCAGAATGTTTACTCTAGCGAATCACTTAATGCATTTTTAACACTCTTAGCATTGTAGTGTGTTATGGGTATATAATATGATAATGAGTTTTGATTAGATAAGAAAATAAGTTATGAAAGGACGGGGTTTGGTTTTATCCTTGTAAGTGAAGGGAGACTGCACCCTTTGACATCTTATTTAACCCTCCTTATGTTTTGAGCGGCAGTGTAAGAAATACTCTGTATTCTGCAATGTAAGCCGGCATGCACTCCTTGACTTCTGAATCACATATGATCTATAAACTTGGCAAAGCTTAAAAGTTATATTACAAGTAGTATTAAAAAATTGTGACATATATTGAGCAAAATGTTTTGGAGGGCCTGCTCATTTTTTTTACAATGTGCACCAAACTGAATGGGGAAGGAGTGTTTGTTTTTTTTACATTGTGCACTGAATTGAATGAGAAAGGGGAAAGTCTAAAAATTTTTACAGTGTGTACCATATTGAATGGGGAAGTTTGCATTGTCCTATTATTTCTGCTAAATAAGCTATTGTTGTTTCTGGAGTATTAGAGACAGTTATCATTCCATAAAAGTACACCAATTCTGTCTTTTTCCTCTGAAAAAGGAATCCATTTGACATATAAAATGTCACATGAATTGGAGATAATAAAGTTGCTGACATTAGGAATATTGGCAAGAAATCTTACATATTGGGCTAATCATGTCAATGCATGGTTGCCCTTCCTTTATTAATTTGTAGATATGGTTTTCCTTATCCCATCAATTTACCAACCTTATGTCAAAAACGTGATCTGGAACAATTAACTTGGACTTCTGTAATACAATGTATAAAAAAAGTTTCCACTTTCATAGCTTTATGATAAATTTCTCAATCATTAAATGCATTTAAATTCTTTCCTTTTTAGGTCCATCTAAAATCCCAGTTTATCTTAAATGGAGTGTGTGTTATATGGAGAGGATGGATAGACCTTCACAGACTAGACGGAATAGGCTGTATAGAATACGACTCGGAAAGAGCCGAGGTAAGGACTAAAAGAGAGAAATAGAGAGAGAGGGGACCTCTTCTTGCAGCTTTCCAGAAAGATGAGAACCAGTTATTGACTCTTTAGTAGCTGTTTTGTATCTAGTGTTCAAATGTTATTGACCTCTTAATCACAGTTGTCAATTTTCTCTGCTTTTTTCACTTTTGTTCATTTTCAACAAGTTTTCGATACGTCCTTAAAATTTCTCCTTATTAGAGGTGAGACCCATACATTTAATGTGCACACCAATACTAGGTCTCTTTTGAAATGGGATGAAGACAAAGCAGGAAAACTTTATAATCCTCTAATACAATCCTAATGAAATTAGAAATTAATACCACTGAGTAGCAGAACCTTTACACTTCAGAAAAAAAGATTTCTTTTCTTTCCAGTCAGAGCTTAGTCTTTAATTACTTCACTTTATACATTTGTTTAATTTTCACTTATACATGTGTGTTTAACTTGCATTAAACCTTTTTTTGCAAGCTGTTTTCAAATATACATTTTTAGGAAAAAAAATTTTCCTATGTTTTTTGAATAGGGAGTAAATGAGAATAAAAGATAAGACAGAGACTAGAATTAAGAAATATAAGGGGAGAATTTGAAATGATTTCTGGGAAGCTGTAGTTTGATATAGAAGAACCACAGGCCATATGTCTAATTACACAATGTGTCCCTCAGAAAGTTAGCTGTTCTACATTGTGGTCTAGGAAATGTGTTTTTAACACGCTAATTAACAACCATTTACAAAAGAAATTTGTCTTAACTGTGGATACAAAAGAGACTAATCTAACGAACATGCCAAAACTAGCACCCTTCTAGAACAAGGCACCCAAATCTTGTGCATTTTTCACCATCATAATCAGTTTGCCTGGGCACGATTGCACACATTAAGACCATTCTTTATCCATTTTTTACAACTCTGCAGAAAGTTGAAACAATAGTTTTGGACAAGTGCTTGTGTGAGGGAAACATTAATTTAGGGATTTTTAATTTATTTTGTGGGGTGGTTAAATCATCATTACAAGTCTAAACTAGATTGATTTCTTCTGATGGCTGATCCTGGGTTTCACTTTCAATGTTGCCCAATCATTTGTGGAATTAGTACCCCAGTCGTGAGATAATTAAAATGCAACTCTGATTAATTGTTTTTCATCTTCCATAAGGATTTATAAATGGATTCTAAGGATGTGTTTTGTTAAGAAGAAAAAATAGCAGATGCAATGCAGTCTTTGTGGAACAAAAAGTTTGTAAATTTTGGACTCAGCCCACAAGTCTGTTTTGGTAAAACATGCAAGAGTTTTCCAGTAATGTCTTCTGCTTAGTAAATAAGTGTGGAAAGGGTGGGGATCTGTTAATCTCCCTCACAATGGAGCCATATGCTGCATCTAAATCTACAACAGATCTCAGGATTCTCCTGTGACCTTGAGAGGGTGCTAGCTTCAGATGCAGCAGTGCCAGGGTTGTTGTCCTTGTAAGGGGAATTAACTGCATCAGATTCTGACTGCATCTGCCTCTTTCCAAGACAAAGACCCCTCTAACCTTATGTAATATGTGCAATTTGGGTAGCTGCAGATTCTGGATCTGAAAGAGCAGGTTTCAGACAAGGTGAATTTTGAGCTGTCAGATGGCATCAGGGAAATGGCAATGAATTTTTCCTAAGTCCTCTGATCAAAACAAAGTCAAATTAAAAGCTGCTCTTTGCACAATGGGTTAAAAAGACAAAGAAAAATCAATATTTAATTCAGAATAGTGCAGTCAGCTGCTGGAAAAAGTCTCTAGTCATCATACACACTATTTTGTAATCAAAGCATCCAGCTTTTCTTGTATTTAAACCATATGCATCAGGCAAATAGTTGAATCCTGAAGAGTCTAGAAAAGTCAGTCAAAATCCAATTAAAATTTGATTGTTCACTTTTTAAAAATGTGATAAAAATTGGTACCTCAAGCAGGTGATGGTTTGATTTTTGTGGAAATTATCAAGTACAGAGAATCAGGAATGGGGCTGCTTCTTTGGTTCTGTTTTTCTTCCTGCTGTTGCTTCAGCTGCACTCCAAGAGAACAAGAAAAGAGTTGCATATGGTTTGAAGTGTGGCATTATAATTATATTTTGGTCTAACATATTGCAAGAGAACAGGTGAAAATTAAACTGCATTTGTTTCACTTGCCACTGCATCAACTTCTGAAACATTTGCCCCTCATTTTCTTGTTTTTCAAAGTCAAGTAAAACTTGTCCAAAAGTTTTCTTTGTCTAGAAAAAAGTTTCACAGCCTTAACTTAACAGTATATTTCACCTTACAAAATGGAAAACTGTTGTTTTACTAGCATTTGAAAACTAAGTGCCTGGCAGAAAATGCCCTGCAGTTTGAAAATCTTTGCAAAGTTTTCATGATATTTTTTTTTTCTCTTCAGGTAGAGGACCAGTTGTATCGGCAGCAAATAGAACAGTATAACCAAAGATTACGAGAGTTTGAGGAACGACAGAGACAGTACCGGGAACAGCAAGAGAGAAGGTCACATGACGAACAGGAGGTAATTGATGCCTTGTTGTGTATATCAGAGGACCGAAAATCCTAGGCTTTGTTGTCAGTGTTGTGTTGTTGTCCCTTTACCAAATGGTTGTTAGATTTTGTCAAAACAACAACTCCCTCATTTATTTGTTGTTGTGGCACTTTATCCAATTCTTTATAGTATCTTTTATACATATATATTTTTTTAGGAAGCTGTTAGCTTTTTTCTTATTTATTTATACATATTTATTTGTAGTTTTATTGAAATGCAGATACAATAACCTCAGTGTCAATCTGGAGAATCTATTTCCTGAACTCTCAAATGACCAAAAAAAACCTCTCTTGATCCATCTTCTGTGTCTGTCATTTTCAGGAGGGTTTTTCATAAAGACCCAGTCTAAGTCAGACACACAGAGAGCTGGTAAATGAGTATCCCCTGGGATCTCTGTAAACCTAGTACCCCACAGTGTGGCCTCTCTCTCAACCTTTCATGGACTTCTAAGGAACACCTACATGCTTAGTGCTTTCAATTCTTCATTTATCATGTAAAGCAAAAAGTTCAAGATTTTGCTATTTTATTATTTTCTTTTATAAGAGCATTAGCATTTTTAACTGTTTTTGGAGTTGTTGCATGATGTTCATTTTGTTTGTTTGTTTATTCATGTAGCATAAAAACATACTCATTAGCCAGTTCTTCAGCATTCAGACATATAATGCTACATTGTTTATTTTTTGAAGTATTTTGTTGTTGTAGTGATATTTGACTCTGGGAGTGACATTTGTATAAATGTATACCTATGTAAATTCTTCACACTATGTGTTCATATTCATAAGAGGAAATACTTTGTTATTCACTGCCAGAGATGTATCCTATATCATTATGTCATTTGTTGATTGGTATTCAAAAGTTTGTGTGATATGTAAAGTCACTGTACTTAAGGAGTTAAGTGATACATTATGCTCAAGGGACTCTTTTTAACTAGAGGACAAGTTTTTTTATGTATATAGAAAAGTTGATGAGTGTTTTGTTAAAATGTTATACATTCTAGTCATAAAGATGTAACCATGATAAATTTGTACAGTTTATTACTGCCCATGCAGTTAATGAAAAAAAAGTATATTTATAGTTGATCTTTTTAATTTAGTGCACTTTTAAAAGAATTTCATTCCTTGGTGTGACCCCAGATTCTTTTTTCCAGTGATTATAATTTTTCTTGTAAATAAATATCTTAGAAGATGCATCTATTTTTTTTATTGAAGATATAAAAATTGAGATTTTTAAAAGTAAATTTGTTTATTTTATCACTTTTTATATGTTTATTTGATATGTTTCCAAGAACAGCAACTCTGATTCAGTCTAAGAAGTTTCCCAAAAAGTTTTGAGTTTTCCTCAAAGCACCCAATTCCTTTACATGTGCACTCTTTTGCATAAATGCAAAAAAATCAATAAATTTTGCATCAGAATTTAGAGTTATTCCCCTTAATTTGGCTGCATGCAGTATTGTGCACAATGCAGAAAATATTGCATCTTCATATGAAACCTCAAGTTTTTTGAGAAATAAATCCCAACTGTTCAAGAAACATGCAATGAGTGGTTTATATAAAGAATTTATGTATTAATAAAAATGTTACATTTTGTTGTTTTTCTTGTTGTACTTGTTAAATGGCAGCATGCTTTGATGTCCCCCAACCCATTCAGTTTTACAATGCTTTTAAAAAAAAATTATTGCAATCATATTTTTTTGATCATTATTGTGGCTTCTTTTTTGTTATCCATGGATACCTTTGATGTGTTTACTGTTGGTCAAAATTTCATTAATTTTTTACAGTGATCACAAATATTGATCATGAAAATTATGAGACTTCTCATCAGCGTCATATGTTCTTTTGAAGAAATTATAAAAATAAAACCCATTCATTAAAAGCAGAATTGATAAAAAATGAAATAGGACACCTGGTCTGAAAATATTGTAAAACAAATCAAACATGTGGGCAAGAGTTTCTGTCTTTGTTTTTTAAATAGCAGAAAAGATGGTACGGATAGTTAGCCTAAGGAAATATTTCTCTGACAATGACCATCAGATGACTGAGTACAATGGGCCTCAGACTCAGAATTATCTTGTCCTCTCTGCCATTAGCATAATGCTCTGAAGCAATGTCCTTCATCTTAACTTCACTGATTCAAATGGTCTTCCAATCTTGAGATTTTCAAAAATAATATTTGAGTTAAAAAAATATAAAATGCTGTTGTTAATTTTTTGGGGGGAGGTTTATTGGTAATATTCTCTTTAATTGAAAAATGATCTTTGAAATAGTTAAGTTAACAATGGCCTCTGTTGCTGAAAGTCTTAGAATTAAATAACAAACCTATCGGGTACCAGCAAAACTTGACAGGCAGTTCTCTTTGTCTTCCGATTTGACTGTGTGATTGAAGCAAATCCAACCCCTTCAAAAGTTCTCTAAAATTAAATGACAATTGCTGACTTAAGAAATAGTAAAATGAACTCTTTTTTAAACACCCCTTGTATTTACTAATAAATGGATGCATTAAATCTTCTTTACATTTCTTTTAGTTCTACCATTTCGCAAAATAAATTGAGTTGAACCTCCAAGTTACACCTGTCCACACTCAACAAATTTCCCTCATGAAAACCCCATTCAGGAGTAAACACAGAAGTGAAAAATATTTAGAACTTTAATTTTCATTAAATAAAGGCTTTTTCTCATCAAATAACAATCATAAAAATGGTGGAAGTATGGCATATTTCATAAAAAGAAGTAATGTAAAAGCAATTTTTTAGATGAAAGGTTAGAAATATGAAATATGTGAACTGTTTCCTTTGCCATTTAAAATCCATATCTTTGTCCAGGTGATACCAGGAAAAACTGTATCCATGCCAATTCCTAAATGTCATTTTAAACAACATTATTTAAAGTACAGACACAAAAATTAATGGTGAATATCAAAATGACTGTGACTGCCATTTCCTAGCATAAATAAATATTTAGTTATTAATTTTAGGTACTCTGTAAGTAATACCAACGAAATTCTGTATTCTAGGAAACCAGCAACCTACCCTCCCTCCTGAAAAATTAAACACATTTTGTTTGCAATAACAAATGCATTGAAATCTATAAAAATTCTTCTATAAATAAGGAGGGTTTTTAAATTGGTAAATATCTATTAATTTATTCAACACTTTGACTTTCTCAAAATTTACAAAAACTATAACTCAAAATTTCTCATCTTTATTGACTTTTTTTGTGATAATTTATGTTTTTAAAGCCCTTTCATTAATTGTTGGATTTGAAGAATAATTTCCATTCAGTTGGGAATTGATGGATTCTCCCTTGCCTGTAAAACCTAATACAGATCCATCCCAAGCAAAATTGGGGGGGGGATATAATAGTTCTAATCACATTTTTAAAAATTTAAAATAATTTACATGTTTAACAAATCAATCCACCACAATAAAATGTTAGAATCCTTACATATTTGCTTATTTTCAATTTATTTTTATTTTTTATATTTGCAAAGGAGACATTTTTAGGGTTAATTGTATGCTTTCAATTAAAGTCCTGGTCCACTCTTTTTATTATGGGGGTATCACCTTAAGTTTTTAGCAGCAACTGTTATATGTTGGTAACAGATCTTTTTAAATATTCTAGTGATTTTGAATTCTAACAATTCGTAAGTTACATGCAATCACTTCATTACAATGATATAAAAATATGTTTAAAGTTCAATCATTATGCAAAAAAAATCTCATTTACTTATCATTTGACATTATCCATAAGTAATGTCCTTTTTGGAAAAAAAAAGGGGGGGGTACCAAGCACAAAAGTACCTTTACTTGGAACTAATATTACCAAAAAAAAATATTCATTGCTATTCTGAACATGAACAACACAACAATAAAGTTTATATACAGAGGCTTCTGAACTACGATAGTCCCTCATAGTTAAATGTTAAAAGAGTGAAAAGATTGCTCCTTACTTTAAAAATTTAACACTTGCCGATCTTATTCTATTCATAAAAACCATGTGAAAATACATATTTTCTTCCTATTTCTTTTTAAGTTTTTTTTTTAATATAATGTCAAATCGTCAAAATCCAGGAGACTTGGCGAGTGAAACGCTTTACTAAATCTGATATTTACAAAAAAAAATTTAAGATGGCCAAAGTTAAAGCAAGTTATATAATTTTCGGTAATGCAATGCAGTCACATCAGATATGGGTATAGATATTCCCTCGATGCTTTTTTTCATTTGCCTATAACCTGGCTATTTATCTTTATTCGCTTTTAATCATTATATATACATGTTATTGTCAGAAATAAATGTATCAATGTCAAATTATGAAGGGTAAACTGATATATGGATATCAGAAATATTCCAAACTATTGAATGTAAAACGTTAAACAGGTGACAAAGGCTGAATATGGTGCATTTGTTTCATGCAGGTGAGTTCAAGCCTACAAACCAGGGGGATCAAACACGTCGTGGACCCGACTGCAAAGTAAGCTTATACCATTGTTTGTGATCAATTTGTTAGAGTTATGGTCACCATAGTCGCCAGAGCATATCCGTTATGATCACGTGGCATAAAGTTTTCTGTAAAGAATTTTTAAAAATTTGTGCGGTTGTTTTCACTGAATGAGCTCAGTTTTGCTTTATCCTGCCAAAGAGATCTTTTTAAGTATGTTGCAATTTTTTTCTTTTTACACGTTTATTTTGCACGTGTGTTTTGCATGTGCATAATCGTTCTGCGTGATCATAACCGGAAGTTGTCAATGTACTCACGCTGTAAATGTTGGCTTAAAGTTGTGGGAAATTAAAATTAAAAATTAAGATAAAATACTTATAGAATTCTCTTGGTTGTAGGCGTGAATTTGTCTATGATGCCACTTGTATAAATTAATTTTTACACAATATGTTGTAACATTCTATACTTTTGTTTGTTTTGTTTATGATTTTAAGGTCGTTTATATCAATGCATAACTAATCAGAAGAACAGAATATTTCATTCCTAATTTTACCAAATCAAATAAAACCAGAGGCAAATCAAAGAACGGGAATTGTGGATAAAAAAATGAATTAAATTAATGCGATTGTATGACAAATCAAGGGACACAAAAATGAGAGTTCAAGGGGCGGTTCGGTATTCATTCCGCGAGCGAAAGGTTCACGGTCGTATTTTGCATTTCTGCTAGAATTTGTATTAACCAAAACAGATAACAAAAAAGTAACATTTGTGTTCAATCTTTTTTATTTGAATTCAGTGATGCAAACTGGTATAATTATGGCGAAACGGCGGTCCTCGGCAGACGGCCGATGAAGGATTCGAGCATTGCAACAGACTGGATACTTTGTCTGTTTTACAATTTACATGTCCGCCGGCCGGCCGTAGACCAGTTGTCAAGAATAATGTTTATTATCATAAATTACACTCGCCAATAGTTTATGAACCCATGCCAAAATAGACGTTTCTGCTTTTATTATGCCGAACTCAATAAAATTCAATCTTGAATTCCATGCCTAAAGAATTCTTATTTTAATGCAACATTTGACTCAATTCAGGTACACAACTGTATACAGTTTTTGGCGTTATGAATTAATTATGGGCATATTGCACACGTGCTCCCTTTCATATTATATGAATAATTATATCAAAATTGATGTCATTGTCGACATTTGGTTTAAACATATCAGTGAACCAGGTAAACTTGGCATTTGTGTATTTGAAAACATTCTTAATTTCAAAATTTTTACTGTTTGGGATCTTATTCAGTTACGAAGTCGATGTTTAGAATAAGTATCATTTCGACCGTGTTTAGGTTTTGGTTACTTGATTACCGTATCGTAGGGTGCGGAAACGTTACATGAGTAGTTGTTTTCACGGGATTTAAGATTGCGCGTATACATTTGCACTAATCTCTTACTTGCATGAAAATCCAAGGTTGTCATTTTGTTGTCTGCTGTCTGTAAGAAAGCCTTCGTAGAACAGTCCTTGATGACGTCATATGCAGCCTTTCTTTTCGTTTTGTTTTATTTTAGTATGTTTTCCTTTTGTAGCACCTTTGTCATTTATGATAAATTAATTTGAAGAAAACAATTAATTTTAAGGGAAGGGATGCGTTAATAGATTCAGGGGAGTCAAATGATCGTTTCTTAAAACCCGTTGATCTTTTCAAAATGCCGCATCGTTAAATTAATTCCGGAAACATGTAATTACTCTGTACCATAAACAGCTTTTCAAAGGATTGCCTTTTAAATGTATTGGTGAATTTAATTTTGTAAACTGAGTGATTTTCGAAAGTCCTCAATCCCTGTACACCCTTTGGCGACCATAGACAGTACAGACTTGGTAGACATGCGAATAAAGCACCAGTCCACACGTTCCGCCGTGTGAAGCACACTTAGACACGTGTTATGTTTACCCAGGTGACTGGTAATAGAAATTGAATACCTGTATAAAGTTAGAGAGATTGGATTAAAATAAAATACTTTTCGTGCAATAACACAAAACGCGTTCATGCAAGAACCATTGAAAGGAAGTAGTCACTTTCATTGTCAAGTGAAATCAACGTTTAGGGTGACACTGCAAGTGTAATCATTGAAAATTAATTAAGCAGC